AAAAAAAAAAAGACATGCAAACAACAGAATGGGGCGTAAGTAGGGGGCAGGGGCCTGAAGAAAGGGCTCCTTCCTCCGGCTGGTTGGTTGGCTGGTGTGACACGACGAGCGGGAGAAGGTGGCAGGAAGAGGGGCAGCAAGTGGGCTGGTTGGCCGGCAGCTGGCACGGACCAGCAGGCGGGGAAACAGTGATGAGGGGGCAAACGGCCGCCCAAGGCAAACGGCAGCGGTTCCTGCGAGCCACTCATAAGATATCATTAACGCCACTATTCACTGATTTTGCCGGCACCATTCTAGACAAAAAACCCTCTATACGGGAAACTTGATGCGCCTATTCAATGACTATGCCTAATTCTCTTATCGCTAACTAGATTAAAAAAAGAAGTCGGCAGGAAGGAAGGAGGGTGCTCGCGCAAACACCTGCCTGCCATTGTCGTCTTGAGTCTATCATCTACATCAACTCTACACAAGACAACAACCTATCTATTTTTCTCTTTCTCTTTTATCTGTACCATCGCCTAGCCACACGTCTGCGTATCAACCATGAACTACCTCCATCGCCTCCATCGCCCACACGTTTAGCTTTCCACCTGCATCGCAACCTCTCCCGCTGGCTCCAGCGACGTCCGTCCCGTCTTCATGCACGATATCCGCCTCCGCACCAATCCCGCTCTCTGAAACCCAAGTAATATTTTGCTCGCCGCCCAGAACACCAGTAATGAGCCACGCCGCTATCGACTTACCAACCCACCCTTCCTCCCTCTCTCACGCTCCCACTTGTTACACCAATAAGTACCATGCGACGAGGGCGGACTGGCCGAGCTGCTCGCTCTGCATTCTGACACATAACTTGCACCGCGCCCACCGACTGCATCTTTGTTACACCCGTCAACCACCGACGTCTGCCGTCTGCCTTCATCTAGCCATACTCACCTTGGCCGTGCCCCGGTTCTTGCTCGTCTACTCCGTGCTCTGCCACGCTGAAACGCCCTCATCGTCATGGCGCGTTTCTCTCGGCGCTCTTGGTGCCCGCAACGCTACCAAACGAATACCGTCCACAACAGCACGCATGGACCGTAGGGACACGACCAAGCGCTGCATCGTGCGACCACTGTTAAAAACTAACATGTACAACGATGCACAGCTGTTCCCTTACATGTACGCTTTTGGCTCATGATCGGTCTCAGAAGTGATTCGGACGGGGTTCAGCAGAGGTAATTATGACTGCCAACCACTCAGCTCCAGCCCGTTATGCACAGCTCTGAGTCAATTGGCCTCGCGCAACCATGATTGTACATAATCAGAAACAACACTGGAGCCGTGTCAACCTCGCAACAATCTCGCATTATATCGCCTTGGACACTTGAGCGATGGCCTCGCCTCTGACTTCACTTGACTCCCGGCTCCGCATCAGGATTCGTCCGGCACTTGAGCAGTTAGTCCCTCGCTAGCGCCCGTGCCGATCCCCCTCCAAAATTACACCAAGAAACACCAAAAAGTTCTATCAACTTTGGTGTCTTGGTTCAGTCGAAGCCGACGTATCATTCGAGACCAGACATAGAGACGGCGCCGATTGAGTCGTCTACTCAGAAGCCATATCCATATCCTCGAGCCCTGCAGCATCGAGACGGGATCTCTCCTCGTACATGCAGCGTCCGTCTCCGGAGAAGAAAGGACTGTTCATGCAGCCATTTGGCCTGCGTCATTATACACTCCCAAGCCGCAAAAAGGCCCTGACAAGCCCAGAGCGCTCCTTCATATACGTGCCCAACGACGCGCCAAGTGGATATCGAGACTAGTTGATGGCTGATGTGGTTGGCGTGAGATTTAACCACGTCAGACTACCACATGCATGCGCCTCTGTTCCTTAGCATCCAAGCATCGTGCTCCTCGTTTGAATAGCTGGCGCGCTTGTCTCTGTATGCCCCCATAGTAAGGCTCGCCTTGGGTTCTCGCGCAAGGCGGCGCCCGACGCATTCCCCAATATCGGGTAGACGTGCATAAAGTGGCGCTGGGCGCTTGCCAACCTCACAGCATTATTCCATCATTCCTGTCTCGGCGGGGGACTAACAAGCTCTCCGGCCCGTCGAGGACAATTCAGCCCTGGTGAGACTGTCTGCGTTCCAGCCTTTCTACTTGACTTTAACTAACAGCCTCAACAAGGCACACAAGGCGCAAAGAAGCCCGCTAGAAGAGTTCTTTCCATTTTCAAAAAGAACAAAGAAATGTAGAGTATTTTAATACGGCAAGTCAGGCGGGTCAAGATAACCAATGAACTTGTCACCGCCCCAAACCACACAAAGACGTCAAGCTTTGGAAAGCGGATACGCGTTGCCAGGCTAGGCACGTCCCGCTGCCGTCCGCCTTTTAGTTGTTCGTCTTTTTTCCCTGCGTTGCCTTGCCGGGTCTTAGCCCTGACTTTCCGGGAGCTCCATTTACACTGGGGCGACAATCACGAAGAAAAAAGGCCAGACATCAGCGCTGGTCGCGCAAATCGCGATGTGCGCGACCTGCCCTGCGGCTCCCACGTCCCACGTTGCGCAGCAGAAAACAGCACTGCATCTCGGGGAAGTTTTTCTCATGCTTGTCCTTTTTTCTTTTCTCTTCTTCTCTTATGCGCGCGATGATGGCATTCGACATTATATAACTGTCCGCATTTCCCCCAAGCGTGAGGTGCAGCTCATGTTGCGCCGCATGCGTGCAGCATTGCACACTTTTTCGACCCACGTGGGTTACCATAAGAATGTATGCTGATAATTAGTTGTGAAAGCCACTTTAATAATCATCTGTAGACATGTGAAATGAGAAATGTGAAGCGGGAAATGTAAGAAAAGAATCTGATTTATTTGATATTCTACCATTATTTTTATAGAAAAATTTCTTTCTAGATGCAGCAAAAATGTGTGCGTCTTCTTTTTTATACATCAAATACTCCCCCGCATCCCATCGTATAATATACAAATACACAAACGGTACACCATTTCCATCTGATGCAAGCATGCGACAAAAGCAGACTGATTCAGAAGTAGAAGAAAGGGGGGGAAACGGAGAAACGAATCAGTGGCAAAATTATAGATATGAGGTCATCAAGAACGTGGCCAGGTTGGCTTTTGGTGGTAGAGGGGGGTTTTGTGCAACACTTTTGACTCATACGTGGCCTTTGTTCGTCTCCTTTGCTTCTTTGCTTCTCCGATTCTTCAGCTGGCTTTGAATTCCAACCCGTCAGTTGACCTTTTATTCCTGCTTCTTCTCCCTTTTCCCAGCCACCAAGTCTTTCACACAGTGGTGGTGGTTGGTTGAACTCCCCGGGGTACCACAGCACGGGAACGTGCACATCGGGAGAAGAATATGGAGCAGCAGCCTGTGCAACCATGCCCCAGTCTGATTTTTTCTATATAATTTTTGAAAGCTTTTGCGTGATGCAGATCTTCTTTCAGACATCATTCTTGTTCCCTGTGTACCACGAGTCATGGTGACACGTCGGGTGTGACGCCACCGAAAACCAGCCATGGCCGCTTGTCATCCTCTATGTATCGTACAGCATGACCAGTAGTAGTCAAGTCATTAGGCATGCAGCCGGTCTTGCGCCACTTGCTTATTCGTCGTCTTCGCTCGTCTTCTTGCCATCCTTGACCACTCTGCTGCTGTTGGCCGCGGCGCGATCGAGGTCCGGAAAGACGAGGTCAAAGACCTCTGTGTACCACTCAACTGGGTGACCCTCGATGCCCTCCTTGATGGCCGCCGGCAGCTCGAGCCAGTCCGACATGCAGTCTTTGGGGAAGATGATGGTGGTGCAGCCCGCGCGGCGCGCCGCCACCGTCTTCTCTCGCAAGCCGCCGATGCGCAGCACCTTGCCCGTCAGCGTCAGCTCGCCCGTCATGGCCACGGTTGGGTTGACGGGCGCCTCGAGCGCCAGCGACAGTAGCGACGTTGCCATGGTGATGCCCGCCGAGGGGCCATCTTTGGGCACCGCGCCGTCGGGCACGTGCAGATGCATCTTGGCTTTGTCGAAAAAGTCATTGTCAGGAAACTTGGTCACCATGAACGATTTGGCGAAAGAGTAGGCAATGGCCGTTGACTCCTTCATAACCGACTTAAGGTTACCCGTAATCTCCATGCCGGGACGCGTGCTCTGGCGAAGAGGCGACTGCAGAATAGATTCAATGTACATGGCAGCACCGCCCATCTGTGTCCATGCCAGGCCCATGGCGACACCAGCAGGGCTGACTTCGTAGAGACGGTCAGAAGTGAACACGGGGGGTCCAATATAATCGGTCAGATTGTCCTTGCCGATGGACACTTCAACCGAGTCGGGCACCGCGAGAGCCTTGCGCGGCTTCTCGGTTGTCTCCTTTTCGTTTGCTTCCGTGCTAGGCTGCTCCTTGCCGTCAGACTGTGATGTCTCTTCAGCCTTCTTGGTAGACTCTTCAGCCGCCTCCTTGCCCTCTTCTGTAAGCGCCTCCTCTTCGGGGATGGCTTCCTCCCCGAGATCCTGCACAATTTTGAGCGCAGACTTGCGGTAGACTTTTTCAATCTGCTTCTTCAGGTTGCGCACGCCTGATTCGCGGCAGTATGCTTTAATCAGTTCCTCGATGGCTTCATCCGTGAGAATGACCTTGGCGTCCTTGAGACCTGCCGCGTCCTTGGCGGCTGGAGCAAGATACTTGTTGGCGATGGCCTTCTTCTCGTCTGCAACGTAGCCAGAAAGGGTGATTAGCTCCATACGGTCGAGCAGCGGTCGAGGAATAGTGTCGGTCATGTTCGCGGTGCACACAAAGAGAACCTTGGACAGGTCAACGGGTACATCCATATAGTGGTCCAGGAACGAGTTGTTCTGCTCGGGGTCTAGCAGCTCCAGAAGTGCAGATGAAGGATCACCCTGATATCCACGGCCAATTTTGTCGATTTCATCAATCAGGATGAGTGGATTTTCCGTCTGACACTTCTTCAGGGCCTGGATAATACGGCCGGGCAGGGCACCAACATAGGTTCTGCGGTGACCTTTGATTTCAGCAACATCCGTGAGACCACCCACACTGAAGCGGTAATATTCGCGGTTCAAAGCGCGAGCAATAGACTTGCCGATACTTGTCTTGCCAACACCAGGTGGACCAACGAAGCAGAGAATCTTGCCTTCGACGGAACCACGTAGCTTTCCGACGGCAATGAATTCCAGGATACGGTCCTTGACATCTTGAAGACCATAGTGATCCTCGTCAAGAACCTTGACCGCGTTGGGAATGCCAAAGTTCTCAGCACTGCGCTGGCCCCAAGGAATCTGCGTCAACCAGTCTAGGTAGTTTCTTGTGACATTGAATTCCGAGGCGGCAGTCTCGAGATGAGCGAGCTTATTAACCTCCTCATCAAAGACCTTGCGCACGGCATCAGGCATGGCCAATTTGCCAGCCTTTTCCTTGAACTTTTCGACAAGCTTGTCCTTGCCGTCAGACTCGAGGCCGAGCTCGCGACGAATACCCTTCATCTGCTCCATCAGCCAGTATTCGCGTTGACGCTTGCTAATCTTGCTCTCAACATCCTTGGTGATTTTGGATTGCAGTTGCGCATTCATGAGCTCCTTCTTGAGCACAATCAACGCCTTTTGCATGCGCTCCTCGACATTCATGCAAGCCAAGACTTCCTGCAGTTCGGTCTGCTCTCCCGAGGACACGGCGGCAGCAAAGTCCGCCAGTTTGGCCGGTTCCGAAGTCACATTGCCGGTAGACTGGCTCATGGAGAATGTGGAAATCTGATCTCTAAATAAGTTGTTCATCGTAGCAACCTCCTTGAAGACGTTGACAATCTCGTTTGTGACGGCTCGAATAACGGGGCTCTTGGGGTCGTAGGGCTCGTCTGCAAGATTCTCAACGTTCACCAGGCTAACGGGGTACTTTTTGAGGAATGATGTGGGCTCGTATTTTTCAGCGACCTGGTCGGGCTTCTTGTCAACGGCTGTCTCTTCGAAGCTGGCGACGACATCTCCCTTCTTGTCCGTGACGGGAGCTTCCCCGGTAGCGGGCTTGGCGGGGATGGGCTCAGGGACTTCGGCTTCCTTCTTTGTCTCGGCCTTTTTAGCTTCCTGCTGCTGCTGGGGTGTCGGGGGAATGAGACTGGAGAGCTTGATTCGGCGGTGTGGGTATAGGATGGCAGTAAGGGCGCCTTCTTGGCCATGGATGGGGAAAGCGCTCGTAATCTGAGCAAAAACACCGACGTCATATACATCTTCGACATTTCGGATAATATCGTCGTCTTCGTTTTCGTCCTTGAAAAGGAAAGCACCGACATACGGCTGGCCGCGCTTGATCGACTCGGTAATGGCGGTGGCGACATCGGGGTCCTTGATGGTAATGGCTTTGTAGAAACCAGGGAATAGTGGTCGGCGAGCGATCGGGATGGCTAGCACTTGAGGGTAGACATCAGGCACGACGGGTTTTTGGAGGGCCTTCTCTGAAGTCTTGCGCCCTCGTTTGCCTCCGTCACCAGAGCCATCCCCGGAACCAGCGCCAGCAGCACCCCCTGCGCTACTGCCAGTCTTACTGTCCTGTGCTTGTGAAGCACTATTGTCGGTTTTAGCAGAGACGTTGGCGTCGGTGTTGATTTCCTTGGATTCGTTGGTGGCCTTTTCAGCAGCCACAGCCTCCTTCTTCTTATTCTCGAGGTTGGCCTTGACCTCTTCTTCGGAGAGGGGCTCGGTGGACTCGGGCTCGGCCGATGAGTCGAAAAACTTGCTCGGCTTGTCCTTTTCTTTGCCTAGAGATGCCGAAGTCGAGAAGGAAAGCGCGGGTATCCGATGTTGGGTGGGCGCGGGTTGCAATCTCCGAGCGCAGGCATGCTGCTGTGTGTAGTGCGCAACGGCTGGGAAGCCAGCAGCTGCTCGCGCGCCAGTCGACGATGGCACGGCACGAGAAGACGAGCGCCTGAGAAAGAGACGCCCGGAGATGCGTGACCGCGGGATCATGGCGGCGGGTTGTGCGGTGCGAGTGGAGGAGCTCCGAGAGCAGGCTCGGAGCACTCACGAGGTTATCGAGACTCGGGCGGACGTCGGGGGGGCAGGTGAATCGGCCAAAGCAGCTGACCAACTTCCCAATGGGTGATTGTAGAGTCAGTTCTGAGCTCCAGACGGACAAAGGGCCTGGTATGATGAGAATTGATCCAAAACAAGCCTGTGCCGTTGTAGAATGATGAAGGTGGCGTGCTATGTAGGAGCGCATGTGCCTAAAGACCGACTTAATAATGCAATCGGCGGGCCAAGTCGGCGGAGCTGTAGCGCAAATTCCCACAGAAGCTTCCATCGGTTAAAAGCCGGCTTTATGACACCAGCGCTAGGCTGCTGTAGGAATCGCTCTGTTCACTGTAACGATCCACCACAGGGCTGTAGGTACCGACAGTCTGGGGTAGGTTTAAATCCTGCATTGCATTCCCGAAAATCCATCCCGACTGCTGATATGAAAAGACATACAATCGGCCTCGAGTTCTATAATTATATACGGTTGTCGTGTTGAGACAGAACTGACTCGTCTTTCTCTATTGGCCTCTTTGGCCTCTCCGGCCTCTTGCACCTCTTGGCAGTCTGAGTACAACAATTGTGTTTTTGCCATGGCGTCCAATAACGATAGAATGTGCTCCAAGCTCTCCAGTTCGAGTCTCCCAAAAAGCAAACAGGGCAGCAAGAGCAAACCAAAACAAGAAGTAGCCGACTCATGGGAAGACGAGGACGTCTCCGAGCCAGACGAACCAACGTCGCCCAAGGCCACATCCTCGACCGAGGCCACGCCCGCCGCGCCTCCTCCTCCTCCTCCTCCTCCTCCTCCCACGCCGGCGACACCCTCGTTTGGGGATGCCGACGACGCATGGAGCCATCAGGGTGGCTCGCCGCAATCGTTTTCGGCCCGCGACGGCGGAGGCCGTAGACCGGAAAAGACGGATGCGGTGGCGCGCAGGCTCATCGCCGCGGGGCTGGGCCTCAAGGCGCCCAAGCAGACGGACGAGCAGCGAGCGTACCAAAAGTCGGTACGGGAGCAGGAGAGGAAACGCAGGGAGCAAGAGCGCGCTGAGGAGCAGAAAAGGGCAGATGCTTCGGAACGGGCAAAGACGGCCGTGTGGGATGATTAATGGTCACTGGCACACACAATGTCTCATATGACTAGGTTCGCATACGAATGACATACATGACGAATTTGGACGCGCAATGTTCCTTTCATTTTTCATTTTTCATCGTTACGGAAAACCTGCAGCGATACCAGGTTGTCTACTTTGATGCCGGTAGTCGTTGAATTACAGGCCATAAGTCTTCTTGACAGAGGGACGAGCCAGCAGGCGCTGGTACCAAGCCCAGTAGTTGGGGTATCTCTTCTGGGCGTCGTAGCCCGCAGCCTTCAAGTCTTCACCGAGGAAGTTTTGCGCGGTAAACTCCCAAGGAACGAAGCACAGGTCGACGTAGGTACTGCAAGCGGAAGCGTCAGCACCATGGCTCGTTTGCCTGTAGACAATGGATGCAACTTACAGTTTGCTGCCGAGGAGATATTCTTTGCCCTTGAGCAGGTTGTTCAGGACGCTCCAGACGCGGTCAATCTGCTCGAGGTAGCGCTTCTTGGCAGAGGGAACGTCCTCGCTGTGGAACTTGAAGAACCAAACACCCTGGCCGTAGTACGGACCCTATCTTGACTATTAGAGGCTGTCACGGGTACGGGCTGGCTGTTTGCGCATTTACCTGGCCGGACATTTGAAAGTGCAGAAACTGCTTCAGGTGCCACTTGTCGCTGGGGTTGGTGGCGTTGATCTTGTTATCCTTGTCGTATGTCTCGACGAGGTACTCGGCAATGGCACCAGACTCCCAAAGGGTGAGGTTGTCGTTGTTGGGGTCGACAATGGCGGGAAGACGGCCATTGGGGTTGATCTTGAGGAACTCTGCGTCCTTGGGGTTTTCAATGTCAATCTGGAAAGAATATCAGCCACCACATTTTTTTCTCAGGCGAGAGTGCGGCATGAGCTACCAGCTTGTAAGGAACGTTGAGCTCCTCGAGGATGATGTTGAGCTTCTTGGGGTTGGGCCCACGGGCTGTTTGCCTTGTTAGCTGCACAATCCATGAGCGACGGCTTGGAAGCAACGAAGCGTGGACTTGCCGTGGTTGTAAATGGTAATGGGCTGAAGAGACATGTTGGAAGTGTTGTGGAATTGATTGAAGAAGGAAAAAGGAGATGCAGGAGTGTCCGTGGTCAATTGATGCTTTCCACGAGAGAGTGGGGGGGATGATGAGGCAGCTTTATAGTTTTCGTTGCCCACGTTGTCCTGCGATGAAGGTAATGTCGATATGCTACCTATCAGCTATCGAACTAAATATCAGAGCCCTGCTCAATTGAGGGGTACTGGTCCATTGTGCACGTAAAGTCGCACACCATCCATATCGCGCAGCTCGGTCCATGATGCAACGTCTTGGTGCTAGATCCACGCCTTCCCCATCATAACTTTGTGGTGCGAGTCGGAGCTTTTCATTGGCAAGTGTCATTGGGCACTTTGTACCCCCTCCTCAGCATCAGACACCGCCTGAAGAATCCATAAAATGCCAGCTATTGCCAACAGCTTTTCTGGAACCTCGAAGCGGGGTCCAGGTTGAGAGTTGCTAGGTGTGCTTTGAAAGCACGCGATGTTGGTGGGATATGGTATTAGTCAACCGCGGGATTGCGGAGAATATGCCAAAGCCTAGCGTCCCACCCTACATAGGTAGCTTTAGAACTCGGAGGTGACAATTTCCGGGTGGTCCTAACCAAGAGATGAACAAAGGAACAAAGGCCTAAAGTATTTTGCTGATTGCGTGCGTGGCTCGGTGCAGATTCGTGAGGCTTCAACCCGCCGTCAGGCTCGAGCAACACAACACCCACAATTGTCTATTGACCCTTTGCAGCAGACTTGTAGCATATTGGGGCAGGGCCATGTCCTCCTTTAGCTTCTGTAATTGCCGATTTGGCTTCCTCTTGCATTTCGGAGAGCGGGGTTGGCAGCCGCGCGGGATCGAAACTAGGAGATTTGTCAGGATAGCTCCAAGATAAGTAATGCAGCTCGTCAAAACCCCACTTGCGTAGCCACATTGCTCCAACCTCCCGTTCAACAAGATCAGGACTAGATAGGAGAATCACCAGGGACAGCGAGCACGGGTGCTCGCTGCTCGGCAAACTCCGAGCAATAAATCACCGATAATCCGGCTGATGCAAAGACCGACAGAGCTGCCGCGCGGCTGTTACAAAGCTGGAGATCCGTTGCAGCCGCAACAGTCCTGATTCGCATGCTATTTGATTGACAAACCCTCGCAAGGTCGAAAGAGCTCGCGAACGAGGCATACGATGCCATCTGGAGCGAATTTCCGATCTAATCCTAGAGTTTTCTCTCCGCTCGCCTCGTGGTATTCCACACGCTCAGCCGCCTACAAACGGCAGCGCCCTGCCCTTGCGTGTCAACACCAGCTCCGTGTCCTCGTTCTCGCCCTCGCCCACGTGCCTCGTCCCGACGCCCAGGCCGGCCAGCCCGCTCTCCTCTGCCTTCTTATTCCACAGCATCTGCCTGACCGCGCCGCCGCCGCCGCCGCCGCCCTCGCAGAACACATACGCCATCGGCCAGCGACTGTGTCCCAGCGCCTCGCGCACGCCCTTTGTCGCCGCGCGCTCGCACGCCAGCACCGCTAGCACGTCGTCGCCGCGCCATCCCGGCGGCGCACCCGCCCTCGCACCCTCGAGCTCTCGTATGTGTTGCGGCCCCACGCGCTGCCCGGCGCCGGCCTTGCACTGCACCAGCACGCGCAGCACCGCCGACGAGCCGCCCGCCGCGTCGGGAAGGGTCCAGGTGCCGAGCAAGTCGGTTCCGCGGTCGCGCGCGCCCCCGACACGACGCAGGGCGAGGCCGTACCGTGCGAGGCTCGCCGCGACCGTGTACTCGTAGTGCGTGCCCACGTAGACTGTAGATGTCGCGTCGAGGCCCGTCCGTTCCGCGTACGAGATAAAGGAGGCGAGGTTGTCGTGTTGCGTCGTGGCCGGCGCCGGGTAAATGAGTGCTGAGGCTTCCACTGGCGTGGCCTCTGCCTCTGGGCTGTGCTTATCGGATTTCCATCGAGGGCTGGCGGCGACGGAGCGGTGCGGTGGTAGTGGTGGTGGCCGTGTCGCGAGCTTGAGAAATTGCCGTCGCGCGAGTGGGCTGCGCATGCAGTACATGATAGAGTTGTGACAGGCCTCTAGTGATTGTTGAAGGTAGGTTTTGTGCGCACCTTCTGTTCCTTGAACCCCCCGTTTGATCTTTTTTTTTTTCCCGGTCAGAGGAAAAGGAGCTCCGAGGCTGCTACAGCTATTACAGCCTCGCCGATATTCATCAAACCGAGCTCAGCTGTCATAGCGGGGTCCAGCCGCTCCAGGCACCAAGTGACCGACCACCCCCACCAAATCTTTTTCATCTTGGCGCCCTCTGCCCGCGATCGCATCTCTTCTTCTCATTGTGTGTCTTTCAGCTCTCGCTCCTCTTACTGCTTCCTCCATATACAACTGGCCCCATCGCCACCCGCCATGGGCTCCGTTGTCATCCCCCATCTCAGCTCAGGCTGGCACGTCGACCAGGCCATTCTCAGCGAGGACGAGCGCCTTGTCGTCATCCGCTTCGGCCGCGACTGGGACCCGGACTGCATGCGCCAGGACGAGGTGCTCTACAAAATCGCCGAAAAAGTCAAGAGCTTCGCCGTCGTCTACGTCTGCGACATTGACCAGGTCCCCGACTTTAACCAGATGTATGGTATGTGCAGCCGCCCCCCCCTTCATTGCATCCCCCCCCCCCACCAGAACAAACAGCACGCGAACTAATACGGGGATGGACATTGTCGCAGAACTCTACGATCCCTGCACAATCATGTTCTTTTTTCGCAACAAACACATGATGGTCGACTTCGGAACCGGCAACAATAATAAACTCAACTGGGTCCTGGAAGACAAGCAGGAGCTCATCGACATCATCGAGACCGTGTATCGTGGCGCCAAAAAGGGTCGCGGTCTAGTCGTCAGCCCCAAGGACTACTCGACGCGCCACCGATACTGAATAGTCAATCTCGTTTATAGTTTGTCTGCTACCGTCATATCTCGACTCATTTATATACATTTAATACCCGAAGGCTTGGCGGGGTAAAGATATCATTGCAATATTCATGGTTGGACGGCGTTACATATCGGATATCGGCTTTCTTCTTTCACGCATCAATCTAGGGCAATTAGGCCTTCCTCAAAATTAATGACAAAGTCTCTTCTTCATTATTCACTATTAAAAAAAGGGCAAACTAGCAATATATCTCGCTTTCATCATACATGCCTTGTGTTGTACGCTTTTTCACATTATACATCAGTATATAACCGAAATCCTTTAAGCATTCGAATGCTCTGTATCCAACATCTCAGCCCAGATCCTGCGTCAATCAGTAATTGTATTTATACTAGATCTGCCGCCTACAGCAGATCGTGTTGCCCGCCCCCAAACACGTTCGGGTTTGTTCCTGGCATTTTGGGCGCCGGCTGCGGCGGCGTCTTTTCGCGCGCTCGGTGCTCCTCCCGGGACCGGCTCGTCAGCCTCCTCAAGTTTGAGGAAGTCGCAGCCGCAAACGGTGTCGCTGCGGTGGTGATGACCTCGGGTTTGGATGACGGCCGGTTCACCATGTTCTCGAGGAAGAACACGCTGCCAATATTGGCGGCCGCACTGGGTCGCTCGTCGTCAGCGTCTGAGAAGCCGCCCGAAAGGTATTCCTCATCAGACGTCATGTCGCCCGCCATATGTGGGTAGTATGACGCTGGCGCTGACGGGGAAGTGATGGAGCGCGAATGCAGGCCGGGCCGGGGCGAAGTCACGATATTGAAGGCGCCAGGGCTCATGGCGTTGGCGCTTGCTTCCCGGGACATCGCAGGTGGTCTGTCAGCAAAGCCATTCTGGAACGACGTGTTGCTTGATGCTTGGTGAAGGATCGGCAGAATCTGCTCGTCATACAACTGCGTCTCCGAATCAAACGCATCCGGCTCATACTCGGTCACCGTTCTCGATGACCGGCCGTCGTCATCCGTATGAGGGCTTGACGGCTCGTCGAAAAAGTCGTCCAGACTGTCCAGCTTGGTGACGAGATCTCCAACCAGGGTATCCGCCCGACCATCGTCGGAAAACATAGTTCCAGTGCGCTCGTCTGCGTCAAAGTATCCGTACGCAAAGTCGTCGTTGTGAAATTCAACTTCGGCCGTTGGTGTGGCTTCAGTGGAAGATCCCTCTGCGCTTTGGCACATGTAGAATGCAGCATGGATATTAGCGCGAGTGGCTTCTGTCTTCTTTGCTGGCACCGGAATCGCCCAACCTGATGCTTCTGGGATACCAAATAGGCTCTGCGTGCGTTCATACTCCTTGCGAATGACTTTGGAGGTGGCGCGCGTCATACTCATCCGTAAGTGGTGCTTGTCCATGTGGCTACCTGAGACGGTCATGATATTGTCAAGTACTTGAAGCGCATTCATGCACAGATCGGTCTGGAGCAGACGGAGCAATGGCGAAAGAAGATCAGAGCCATGGCCAGCGAGTTCCGGATTGCGCATGTCCACTTCCGGGATCACAACGCAAAGAACGCGCATTGTATGGACTTTAACCCAGTTGATCGAATTTGTCAGCAACCCAAGCAAAAATGTCACCATCTTGAAATCGAGCTTGGGAAGGTAGTACTCTTTCAGCGCTCCGAATAACATTGTCAGGAGATCGCTGCCGCTTTGGATTTCGCCATTGACATAGTCATCCAAGACTACGGCCAGACCTTCCAGGCCTTGCCGGTCTGCCTCTGCAAGTAAGACGCGTGCTGACTGCAGAATGTCATCTGCTGGCAGGCTCCGTTGTTCCAAATCATTGAGGAATCGCGGAAAGTTGGCCAGTAGCGTAAAAAACAGACGCTGGTCATCGCCAATAAGGGGATCGTTTGGAAGCATCACAAGCTGCTCCATGATATCCAATGTCGGCTGCCAGCACAGGGCCGAGCGTAGGCCTTTGTGGAGCAAAGGCTGCAGACCGTCGAATGCCCCTTCCCAACGAGGTGGCTGCCCATCCGCAATAAGGCGTCGAATGTTAGCAGATCGCAGGTCAATCTTGCCTACAAACTCGCTGAGCATGTCCACGGCTTCTCGAAATTCTCGTTCATTGATCGATTCGAGACAAGCACATGTAGTCCAGAAGAGCTGAGGAAATGTGAGCAGCTTATCAGTCTCGAGTTTGACAATCAGGGTCTTGAGAGTCGTCAAAATCTCCATTGAAAATGACTGGATCTCTGGGTCTTCGTCGGCAATCGTGTTCGAAAGTCGGGCCAGCATGTCGCCGAGCATGTACTGATCCAAGGATGTCAGAACGCAGCGGAAAATTTGGAACGAGCGGCAGGCCAAGTGCCTGACGGGACATGACGTGGCCCAAGTAAGCGAAAGCCTTCCCCATTGCTCCTTGATGCCGGGATACGCAGGCTCAAAGGTTTGCAACACTTCGGCCGTAAGATACTCCATGCTTGGAGGGACCTTGTTATCTTGCTCATCCACCTTGCCATTGCTGTCTTCGTAGCTCCACACGACAGCGCGGTCATGGCCGCGTACCAGGTCAATGAGTTCCTCAATGGCCTGCTTTCTTGTGTCGTGAAGATTCTCGTCCATCCGCGAGAGTACTAGCTCATGTATCAGGTGTACCAGCATCTCACGGGCCTGCTCCTGCACCAATGGCGTATAATGATCCCACAAAACCGTCACCACGTGCAGAAGGGAAGGAATATTTTCGGGTGACAGGTTCACTGGCGCGACCATCAGATCAACTAGTAGGATCAAAGACAGCTGCCCGAGTGAGAATCCTGCTTGCTTGGTTCCAACTGGGAGAGCCTCGTTAAGATCGGCACAGTAAGGAAAGGCGCTCACGTCGGGTGGAGGAGGTATCGAGTCTCGCTTCTCGTTGGGCACCATAGCCTTGGGTGTAATTTGTAGCAGCAGAAATTCGACGACCTTGATACCTGGCGTGCCACTCGTTGTGGACAAGAAGACGACAATCTGCTTTGCATATTCAACAAAGTTCTGCTCTCTTCGCTCAAGACACAGTTGCATGATAAAGTCCAAGACCAACCGCACATTTCCCGGATGCGGACCTGTTGCCAGGGCCTGCCACAGTGCTTGAACTTCATTATGGAGGGCACCGCTTGACTTGATCGTAATTTCAAGCAGGTTGGCGAGCAGGACATATGATTGGGCCGTGGGTCCGCCATTCGGATCGAGTTTCAACTCAATCGCCTGAATCCAAGGCAGGATAACAGCAACGATATTTCGCTGTGCATGCGGCTGGAGATCCTTGAAGTTGAGAGTGAACTCGGAAATGACATGAAAGGCCAACTCGGTGTACGAATTTGCGAGTCGCTTTGATATCTCAAACTGTGCCAGCTTATATACCACCTGAGTCTTGTCCGCAATGCTAATGTCAAAATCGCGGATCTTGGAATTGCGCTGCTGTCTGATCTCGAGTGAGCGGAGCGCAGCGGCAGACTTTGATCGAATTTGGCTCTGCTCATTTCCAAGAGTGAAGAGGCAGAGACCAAGCATTTTCCAAAATGGGCAAGGATACTCTGGGCATTCTTGGAGCACATCCATGGTAACCATGAAGTAGCTTTCGAGCACTTTGGGTGCCTCAGCAAGATAGCAGCGTGTGATGCAGCGATCCAATAGATATGGGTAGTCTCTATTGTGGATGACAAGGTTCTTGAGCGCCAGTCGGCCAGTGACATTCATACGGTCACTGCCAGAATTGAAGATGGCTTCAATCCAAGCCAGCATCCGGCGCACGTCAAACTGCAGTGTCACGCCACTCTCGGTCGTAAAAGTAACCGTGCCTGCACAAAGTGCTGCCATGGCACTCAGCGCAGCGTTGCGCAGGTTTCGTTTCTCAATCTCCATGGCCGCCGTCACAGTTCCGCGCTCCCCCAAGGACTGCTGGTCAATGACGGATTGCCTCATTGTATCTTCTCGGACGCGGATTTGGTTCTGATTCGGTGAAAAGCCACACCAATCTTCCATCAAGGAAAAGGCCGACTTTCGTGACTCGAAAGTCATCCACCGTGAGGGATCCTTGGACCGGTTAATTCCCTCGAATAAGCTTTCCATTAAGCCGCAGTAGTATTGTCGCAGCTTCTGGAACTCCCAATCCATCTGCACTTCACCATCCATGAGGAATAGCTTCAAATCTTTGGCATAAGCCGTCAGCGTTGTTAGGAAGAATTCGTTGCCATATACACGTTCATCTCGTAAGAAGTGGGATGTTAACTTGAAGACGTGCGTAATTTCTGTTCGTAACAAGTCCATTTTGCGATTTCGTCGAGGGCTGCTGTTTGTCCGTTGGTGAATTCTGGCCCTAGCCTCGTCATTGCATCGGGCGACTTGGCCTTGCAGTTCCTCCAACAAAGATCTGTAAATATGGATGTTGATTGATCCCATTGCCACTACAACAGCGTCGCGTACTGATGCCGAGGACACCGACAGGAGGGGAATGAGATATTTGAACAAGGTCCTCGCCGTCACGATCTTATCGGTTGACATAGCGCGTGAGCCTTTTCGTAAATGTTGTTGGTCTTGGGGGTTAGCCGGCGCCGGTAGCGCTCCCGGGTCGGCCATAGTGGTACAAGCAAATATCAGATATAATTTCCACTGCTCAATTAAGACCTCGGGGTGTGCCGCCGCAGATCTGTTGCCGATGCGCTGATTTCCGGACTCTCCACCATACAGGCCGCGAGAGGGCTCTGAAAGATAGACAATAGGCTTGTACATTTGAAGAATGCGATTGCAGATCAGATCGCGGCAAATTGTGACGGCGAATGGACATCTCTCGAAGAAGATGCGTATTAGGTTTGGTACAATTTTGAACCACAGCGTTGCATCGTATGAGATGTCGCTAGTGCAAAGTTCAACAACGGCTCCTTTGCTATTCGAATTTTGTAGCCCGCGTTGTAGACGGCTTCGCTCTGCCACAGAAAGGCTTTCCTCGTTAAAGTTCATCACCTGGATAGAATCGTTCTCGAGAATATCGATGAGCCTCAAAGTGTCCTTCTCGTCTGCGTTGTCCTTACCGAGGGCCTTGTCGAATTCGGTAATCAGCCTCAATACGGTAATGGCAAAGTGGCGTACGCGGCGAGATTGAGAGCAGAGAAAAAAGAGGCCATGAGCCTCAGCTTGATCGACTTCAGCCCAGACCTGAGACAAGTCCAGCTTTAGCGCTCTTTGGCCAGTTCCCTTCAAATCGCCCTGTGGCGAAGCTGCGTCTCTGGTCTTTTGTCGGATTTCTTCAATCCAGATTTGCAACAGCTCAACATAGAGGCGCAAGGTATTCTCAATATGTCCTGGTCCAAGCATTCCACCGTCGGACATTGTCGAATAGCGTCCATCAAAGTTAAATATGAATCTTGCGAAGCCCATGGTGACTTGCTGAGCATGAGCGTGCCTGGCAATGGCCTTGAGAGAATCGGCGGATGAATCTGCAATGTGGAATTGGACATGCGCAGTACCAGTGCAGAGCAGGTTGATGAGGGTATTGAGTTGTATGCCGGTGGGTAGACATCGGGGTAGCGCCTGCACAGCAACATGGAGAAGTTCATAGAACGCTTGCCGTTGATCTTGGGCGGTTTGAGCATCATCTTTGCGCGAAAAGGTGAAGGACTCGGAGATTGGCGTCTTAGGTCCTGGGCTATTAAACTTTTCATCCAGAGCAGCTTGCCCACCGAAGGTATTGTCGCATAGGATAGCAATCTTGCCTAAAACTTCACAAAACTTCAAGTAGTATTCGCGCACCCCATCCGTCAGGACAGAGGTGAGCACCGGACGTGAGACGGTCTCTCTCTTCGGAGAAGGGGCCGGACTTGAAGGTGATCTCGGCTTCATGGGCATTACAGGAGACATGGGAAATCTGTCAAAAGTTGATGCGCCTTCAAAAGTTTGCGGGAAGGGAGGCTGGCCTTGTTCACCTCTTTCGAGGTCTGACATGATGCTGAGGAATGCGCGAATGCCAATCACGATCTTGTCGGGGTCAAGCTGTTCCACCTTGAGCTCCTTGTTATGCATGAAATAGTCGGGGTTGATCAGAGGAAATATTATGTTTTTGAAGCAAAATTCTGGGTATTTGAAGCCGATGATGCGAATGAGCTGGATTAGAGGTTCGGTGACAGCAACATCAGTAGCAATTAGACTGCGCTTGGAGGAAGGCATGACAAGTCGAATGACATCATCAAGCTTCCTCAAGGCACTCGACGGACTGTCGTTTGTGCGGTATAAATAGGTCCAGACCAGGCGACAAACAACCTGCAGGCAAAGAGGCTTTGTAAATCTATCCTTGATCTTGGTTTGCAGTGGCATAATGAGCTGTAACCACTGCGCTGTGAAGTTTTCCGGTGAGGAAGCACAAACTAGGGTAGCTTGGAGGGGAAAAGAGACAGCCCAGTGCCTCGGTTTCAGATACATTTGTCCGAGGCGAGGCCCGATGGCAGAAAGGACATCGGCCCATTTAGCTTGCATGAGATGACTATCAAGAGCCACGGCCGCGATGGGCCGCAGCAGCATATCAAGCACCTGGCAAAAGGCGGACTTAACTCTTTGGCCATGGGATTTGCTGAATAGTCGACCCAATTTGATGAGAAAATCGCAGGACTGCTCCCAAGACTCCTCAGGCGACACCTTGACGCGCAGGTGTTTCATTCCATTCAAAACTAGTTCGATTTTGCCCTCTACTTCGCGACCCGAGGCTGAAGTTGGGCTCTTCATAGTACGTTCCTGGAGACAAGCACCCAGGTCCTCAATGAAACGACGAGTGATTCCTTTGAAGTTGATGTCGCTCATGTATCCAAGAAGCTGGGCAAAAAGGTTCCAGTTGGCCATTTTCAGGGGCGAGACGGTCAACTGTTCAGGATCAGCGATTTTCAGCTGCCCAAAGATGATGCTCTCCAGCTTATCCTCCATTTCCGGCGTGATTTGTGCAAGACTGCTTTGGCTAATGACTTCAACGAGCACGCGACACAGTATATAAATTGAGACTGTAGAACGGCGTTCTTGCTGGGCAACGTATTCTTGCTTTGCGCTGAGGGACACGCCTGTCGGAAACGCATTTTCAGCGGGGCTTACGCCAGTAGGCTCTGTGTTTCTTCGCATCAATGGTGTACTGGGCGCATTATTTCGCGATTGCTGGAGCTGGCTGCGGGCGTCGTTGGCGGCGTCGCTCTTGCTTTTACGCCAGAGCATCATTGAATCAATCAAAGCTTTCGGTTTGGGTTTCGCAATATGACCTAGAGCGACAATAAGCTGGTCAAAAGCGGTGTCAACGCCAGGGCCGCATATATGGTCGACACTTGGTTCGGGATCGAAGGGGACAGTGATGCATTCGTTCAATTTTTCTTCGGCTTGTGCGATGAAGGAGGTGAAGAGAACGTGCAGGGCGTATTCCCCGACGGTCTTCTGATCGTCACGGTGTCGAGAAGAGTGTGAGTGGTGGTTCGGGTGATCGCGCCGCGATTTAGTATGTATATGCTCGATCTTGCGCTGGGTAAAGCCGAAAGCGGGCACGTCATTCGCTGAAGCCGACTTTTCCATCGCAGCTGGTGATATGCTACCCGCCTGTGCAGGTGAATTTGCTGTTGTGACAGTATCCATCCTGCCAGTGACCGAGTCCATGTCGAGTCCGGCGCCAGCGGCGGCTATCATCTGAGGGCTCAGGGGGCTCGAGGCGGAGCTGGCAATGCTCCCATTTCTCGAGTGCTGTATGCCGTGCACGATGGAAGTCTGCCGGTGGTGTCCGTAGGCAGCAACACGCGTGGCGTCGATGTTTTGTCGGGCGGCAGTACCGGTGGCGGATCGCGGCGAGGTCAGAGAGGGCTGAAGGCGAGGGATCTTTTCTGCAGAAGACTCTCGCGAGTGAGCGGCGGTCGGCGGCGACAGCACAGGCTCGGGGGACACTAGACGAATGGTATGCTCCCAGGAACGGTCATCTTCGTCGAGGCGCGAGACGGATCGCGAGACGGCGGAATACTTGGACTGTGATGGCGGCTCCTGTGCAGGATCGGGCAGCGGTGGCGACGGAGCTGTGATGGTGACACTATTAGCAACGAAAGCAGGGCTGGAGCTGCAGTGTTGGACAGTCTATAGAGAGAAAGAACGACAGTGCGAGATGATTGGGCCGTGTCAGCATAGCACACTGAGGTGCGTTGCATAAACGGATGATTTCCGCCCGAAGCACGTGTAGCTATTCTGGCAACTGGCTCAAGGGAGGCGATGAAGGAGAGGGACCCGAGATGCAGCCGGACGTGCGGTGATTTGAAACTCACCCATTGCGTATTCCAATCAGGGGCGTCACCCCGTCATTGGCTTCTAATCATGCGTGGCGGGCGATCAGAGACAAAGCGAAGTGTAACAATGGGGGGTCACACGCGGAGAACGTTTCGAACTGAGGGTGGTTTGGCCAATGCAAAGGTGGGATGATGGACAAAGCACAATACGTTCAGCGAGCTAGCGAAGGGTTGGATGACGCTACTAGCCTACTACCCAAGGCTTCTGGGGCGAGCTAATATGTCGCCCTTGTCATTTCGTTCCTCTTGGGCCTTGGATCCTACTTTTCCCTTCTTGGGGGGGTTTTTCTGGAGCCAAGGCAAGCAAGCCAAACTTCAGGCGCAGGGTCCAAGCGGGTCTGGGGAGCGGAGATGCCTGTAGGGTATCTGCTAAGAGGAGCTTGTGATGTGTTTGTTCTGTTTTTTGATGAAGTTTTTTGGTGAATATTTTGTGGTGTAGAAGGGACATTCTGCGGGGTTCAAATTTCTTCACGAGAGTATATAATGCACTCTTTTGTGTTACAATTATTAACTGATTGTGGCAGGCTACACAGGTTTCTCATGCGACCTCGCACGAACGAACGTCCACGACAAATCGATCCTGCGGCGGTTGCTCGGTGTAGCGTCTTTTTAGTAACCATGCGCAGTACTGGGAGGACCATGCCTCTATTTATCAATTGGAAACCAAATGGGAAAAAACTGCAAGGAGAAGGGGAGCTCCACCATCCCATCTCAATCCCCGGCGGTTCGCTGAGATAATTACGAGATACGATACGGATGGTTGAGCAAGCGATCGCCCCGCCTGGGGCCCTGGAACAATAGAGCCCTGCGCCACCATTTCTCGTACTGACCGTATCGTGAAATTCAAGGCCGATCATCATGGTGACCAGAGCGCAAGTTTGTGGCGTCCATCGGCTGAGTTCAGTGAGGCTGACACGCCTTGTCCAGCTTTTCTAGACGCGATGTCATGACGAGCAAGAATTATTATATAAAGACGAAGCTATATTCGAAACATGGAAATTTCTTTATACGAACAAGATCGACTGTGCATAGCCCAACTATCAATCCCAAACAACCATCACGCCATTCAATCGCAGCCGGTCACAACTTTCTTATAGACTCATAATGGGCCGCACATTCGCCATACACAAGCCTGCTTTCAAGAACTCGTATACAATTACTGGTCCTAGCCGTGATGCAGCCACGACAGAAGACGTCCTCTTTGTCAAATTACGCCCTGCACTCAACAAGAGTCCATTTCTCCTCATATGTGATGGGCCGGATGCAAATTTTCCTGTCGTGGCCGTGTCTTACTTACCACCCTTTGCGAAGCACTTTGCAATCGGGCGGGGACTTCCCGCAGCGGCGGACAAGCCAGTTCCAGACATGGTCTGGGAGGAGCTCTGCATGGCGCATTCGTCCGGAAAAAAGCACACCTGGACGATGAATGCCGCTGGTGAGGGCGGTTGTGATGGCCTACGCACCAACCTCGTCTGGACGCGGACACGCAGCGTCACTGTCGACGGCATGGTTCGGCCGCCGCTCAGCACGCGCAACTGGAAGCTCACGGAAGCCCCGTCCAAGAGGGGCCGAGCCGGTGACGAAGCAAAAGAGTCGATTCTGGCAGTCTTTACCAGCACCGCGCAGATGGGTAAATGCGGCAATCTGCAAATCAACGTGGACCATGGCCGAGAGTTTGACCTGATGGTCTTGATCACTTGTCTGTCACTGTACTCGTCTGGAAGATGAAAATTTCATCTTTGCAGGAAACGCGCATATGCGCCGGCACATAGCCAAAACTAATGCCGAACTTGCAGCCAAACACTCCGGTGATGTGGATATGACAGACATGGGACATGCAGCACCTACCATCAATTGCCCAAAGGCCAGCGCTAGTATCTGGTATGAATGTTCGAAGGCTACGGAGCGGTCACTCGCAAAGACAAGAGCCAATTACCAATTAATATACAGATTATAGGAACTTGAATTCTACCGGTGGATCGTAGCATACTGATGTACCTTTGGCATTGACTACTATGAAGGTTCTACTGATAGCCATCGTATCAGTCAATGGCTCGTTAATAACAGAACCAGCAACAAAATCAAAATCAGGTGAGACACCGGGAGCAGCAACGGAGTTCTATAAACACGAACAGCAATAAAAAAACCGAAAAACCGAGACATCAGTAGCAACGTAGTTGTGGGTTCTTTATTACACAGGCTCGGCCTGATCCATGCGGTCTCCTTGAACTCTCGTCCAGTCCAGTACTAATAAGTAGTTACATTCGAGCTCAGCGTACTAGGTAGTTGGAATGTACGCCCTTGCTAGTGGGTAAAAATAGCGGTTAAAGTCCAATGTTATCCAAAGGAATTAGCACAAAGACGTTAACCGAGATGGAATGCGGTTTCGGCAAAACAATTTTGATTACTTCCGACATTTTCTCCCTGTGATCCGGCCCTCGCCAGTCGTCCCATTAATCCGATGTAAGGCAATAATGACAAGAGCGCGATCGGTTAACGGAAATGGAGCTGGTAACTGGCGGCAAAAGTGGATTGTGCATATTCGAGTTCTTGCTCGGCCCACCAGCTCATCGTGCTAAACGGACCTCGCACGTGATCCGGGGAGTTGGACCTTCAAAAGATACTTTCACTTGCTCCAATGGTTGCATAGAAAGTCAAGTATCTAGAAACAACAGCCGGTGAAGTAGTTATTCGGCTGGTCTTTTTAGTATGATGAACATGCCCACTTAGCAAGTCTCACATATTCCGACCGGAACCAAACAAACTACTGCGCCGCGCCCACCATCAGATTGTCGTATGCCTGCTAGCTCCCTTTGTGCCTCCATTGCAACGTCAATATGCATGATGATGCTGGTCTTCCGTACCCTAAGACTGGGATTCCGCGGCTCCTGACTGGACGGAGGCCCCCCTCACTAAGACCTTCCCGTTGCCCTCGGTACGTACCCCATACCCGTTGGGCATGTTCGGTGTGGCATTTTATCTGTGTGTGTGTGTGAGTGAGTCTGAAGAGTGGTTCGGCGCTGGGAAACGTCGGAGTAATGAATTGGCCAAGCAAAGGGCAGCCAGCAATTTGGCATAAATATGTTCAAGCCGCCGGTAGCCATCCCCCTCAAGTCTGTCATTCGGACTCGAGAATCTAAGCGCTCCGTCAACCACCACTACATCACTCACCATGGCATCCTACGAAGTCATTGGCATTGCCGTAGTCGCGGTATTCTATTTCATCTTCAAGTTCCTCAACGCCACCGACACGCCCAAGATCAAGGGTCTGCCCGAAATCCCCGGCGTGCCCATCTTTGGCAATCTTATACAGCTGGGAACCGACCACGCTCGCGTCGCTCAGAAATGGGCTGCCAAATACGGTCCCGTCTTTCAAACTCGCCTCGGAAATCGAGTAAGTGCTATCCCCCCCAAGTGTCAATGTCCGCATCGAGTTGTCCATGTTGAACTCTTTTTCTAATGATTTCTAGCGCGTCATCTTTGTCAATTCCTACGACTCGGTGAAGCACTTTTGGATCACGCACCAGTCGTCGCTCATCTCGCGCCCAACCTTTCACACCTTCCACTCGGTCGTGTCCTCGTCGCAGGGCTTCACCATTGGCACCTCGCCGTGGGACGACTCGTGCAAAAAGCGCCGCAAGGCAGCGGCCACGGCGCTCAATCGGCCCGCTGTGCAGTCCTACATGCCCATCATCGACCTTGAGTCCATGGCGAGCATCCGAGAGCTGCTGCAGGACTGCGACGGGGGCCGCCGCGACGTTGATCCCATCTCGTACATGGCACGCTTCGCCCTCAACACCTCGCTCACCCTCAACTACGGCTTCCGCATCGAAGGCTCTGTCGATAGCGCCCTCCTTCACGAGATCACCCACGTCGAACGCATGATTTCCAATTTTCGCTCCACGAGCAACAACTGGCAAGACTACGTCCCACTGCTACGCCTCTGGAGCAAGCAGAATACCGAAGCGCACGAGTTTCGGGCCCGTCGCGACAAGTACCTTACAGACATGTTAACCGATCTCCAGCAGCGCATCGCTGATGGCACGGATAAACCATGTATCACTGGCAACATTCTTAAAGATCCTGACGCAAAGCTTAATACGGGTACGCTCTGGCCTCGCACTTTGTAATCGTCGATAAAAACTGACTAGGGACAGCTGAACTCAAATCAATCTGCCTCACCATGGTCTCTGCTGGCCTTGATACTGTGCCTGGCACCCTGATCATGGGCTTGGCATATCTGTCTACACCGGCGGGTCAAGCTGTGCAAGCCAAGGCTCTCGCTGCGATCCAGGAAGCTTATCCCAACGGCGACGCCTGGGAAAGGTGCCTTGTCGAGGAAAAGGTCCCTTACGTCACTGCCCTCGTCAAAGAAACATTGCGGTTCTTCACGGTCATCCCTATCTGCCTCCCTCGTACCAATATCAAAGACATCCCGTATGAGAACACTGTGATTCCTGCCGGCACCACATTCTTCATGGTATGTAGTAACATCAACACCGATTCTCTAGTCCATTTTATGTGTTTGCCCGCGCTAACAAGTACCCCCTTGCAGAATGCCTATGCCGCTGATTACGACGACCGCCGCTTCAAGATGCCGGAGCAGTTTATCGTCGAGCGGTTCCTTAACGACCACGAGGTCGGCACGCCGCACTACGCCTACGGCGCCGGTTCCCGTATGTGCGCCGGCTCGCATCTCGCCAATCGCGAGCTCTTCACCGCCTATGTCCGCATCATCACCGCCTTCCAGCTCACCCAGGCCGACAATCCGGCCGACCGCCCGGTCATGCACTGCCTCGACTGCAACAGCACGCCCACGTCGCTGACTCTGGACCCCAAGCCCTTCCAGATGAAGCTCAAGCCCAGAGACGCCGAGCAACTGCAGCAGTGGATCGCTGAGGCGGAAGAGCGCACCAAGGATCTTTGAAATCGATATCCGATGCGGAAGCCAAGCCCGGAGGTGTGGGGGTACCCGATCGTGTACTTTGGAGCCGCTCGATTGCGCGAGTCAGGCGCAGCTTTGGCTTTCACAGCCAGAGACCACGGACGGCCGAATTTTGCCAAACCGATTTCGAAAAGTCATAGAACTCTGTGCCTATTCTGAAAGTGTGGAAACATGTCAGACCAGTTTAAAAGCCAAGAGATTTCCCTGGGAAGGTTGGAAGAGCTGTTATGGTGTAGATGGATATTTCCCACATATTGGCATTTTGTCATTTCTAACATCTGGGTTGTAAAATTCGGCCCTCCATCTTACGACACTATTGGAGGGAATAAATAGAAACAGATACTGAAATTATGAGTCAATCTGCCAACACGCCGGGCGCTTTGACTTTTTGGTGCTATCCCACTTACTGGTGACCCTTGTGTTCTTTCTGAGTGGAAGCGCCGAGAAGAATAGTTCGAAGTGCCGCCCCCCCCCTTCATGACAGACAATGGCTTCGCTTTCATCCGGACACGACTCAATCGAGGATATATCATTCTTCGGCTTTGCAGAGCGGGGTCATAGCGAATAGTAGGGCTTTCTTAGCAGGGTACTTTAATAGTAGTGGCTTACGATGTGAATACAGAGGTACTACGACAAATCCGCCACTGTCAATCTTGTACAGAAATACAAGAATCATTCAGCTTTAGGTGGTAAAACCAAAATGTTACTGTATAATGGTGCGCAGAATACTTCTGCAAAGTCTCATAGCGAATAAAGGGGTAGAAAAGAGAGCCATGACACTTTTTGCACGCCTCAGCTGGAAAAAAAAGGAAACAGAACGAAAATATGAATATCGCCGAGTCAAGTAAAGGAGGAGATACTAAATGGATAAGAAAAGGATAATAGGTAAGAAACACAACGAAATTAAAAAAAAAGCCCTCTCCAAGCACTCGAGATCGTCTGCCCAGCACTCCCCCTTTTCAACTTCCAGCGAATTAAATCCTTCAAGCGGCCACAGCCTTTCCTCCCACTAGCAGCGAGGTGAGATTTCGTCAAGATCATCGAGAATTCGTTCCATCGTCGTCGCCCGTAACAGACATGAGTCGTTGCTGTGCCATGAAATGCGCCCTCGTCCGTCTCTTTAAGTTCATCAAAAACGTCAACGAAGATGCGGGCTTTCAGGTAGAAAAACCTTTAGTCTTTTTTTTTTTTGCTGTGAGATGCAACCGAATAAACTTTTCTGTCTGAAATAGCAGCGAGCGTCTCCCTGCTTGGGAAAGGCCATCATCTATAGTCGTGAAATCAAAAAGCAGAAAATATGGGCGAGGGCTAAATTTACAATCTCTCTTCTTGTCTCATTTTCGCCTTCCGTTCAAGGACGTCCCTGACGTCCCTTCTTGACAGTGGTCCAGCCATCCTCGGCAACAGTAGTGGCATCGCCGGCCTCGGAGGGAGCAGCGCTCTGCTGAGCGCTGGCACCGTTGGCACGTGGTCCACGGGTATCATTGCGACCGCCTCGGGGAGCGCCGCCGCGGCCACCACGGCCACCACCGCGAGGGCCGCGCTGGTCACCAGAGGCTGATCTCCAGTTGCCAGCCTCGGCTGCCCTTGGCTTGTGGTTGTGAGCACCCTCTTTAGCCTCATGAGGCTCACGGTTACGCACGGGAAGCTGCTTCTCGCCGCCATTTTGCTTCGGCTCGGCATCCTTGGTCTCGGTAGCTACAGAGGTGCCTTCCTCAGCGGCCTCAGTGACGTTCTGCTTGGCCTCGCCGGCGTCCTGTTTGACCTCAGTAGCGTCCTGCTTGGGCTTGGCCTCAGCCTCAGCCTCAGCCTCCTTAGCAGCTTGCTTCGCTTGACGACGCTCCTCTTTGGCCTTTTCATCAGCCTCGCGCTTCTCCTGGATGGCCTGCTGGCGCTTCACTTCAAGTTCACGCTCGCGAGCAGCGGTGTCAATGGGACGGGCAGCACCAAAAGGGCTGGCCTTGGAATCGCCAGTGGGAGCGGCAGCGTCGCCGGACTCGGTAACAGTACGCTTCTGGAGGTTGAGACGCGGACGGCTGGCAGGCGCGGGAGCGGGAGCGGGAGTGGGAGTGGCAGCAGCAGAAGCCGCGGGGGCGGGAGTGGCAGCATCCTCGCCTCCCTCCTGGGAGGGCGACTGCTTTCCAGCGTCTGGGCGCATGCGGTCGCGCCATTGGAAATCTTTTTCGGCGGCAGTGGGGCTTCTCTCCGTTCTCTCGGGTCGGTCAGGGCGAGGGCCACGGAACGATTCACTGCGCTCACCCATACCCTCGGGGGCAGGGCGAGGAGGACGGCTGCCATCGCGACCGCCAAATTCTTGTGGTGGGAGAGGGGCGAGGGGTCCACGACGTTCCCAATTGATCTCGCGAGCAGGGCCGCGGCTCGTCTCGAGAGCAGGATCGCGCATTCTGCGCTCACCACCAAAATCGGAGGGCTGGCGGCTGCCACCACGGCCGGGAAGATCCGGTAGGGGACCCTTACGGGTCCAGTCGCCAAGGTCGCGGGAAGAGTCCATGCGGCTGTCACCACTACGGGCTGCATTTGCGTTAGTAGAGTTCAAGGGAATGGGCTGCGCATACGCGAATACTTACGAGGATCGGCAATCTTGATCTTGATCATACGTCCCTGGAAAGACTCGCCATCGAGCTGAAGGGCCTTCTTGAGGCCTTCAAGGTCGGTGAACTCGACATAACCGAAGCCCTTGGGGCGCTGCATTTCGCGGTCTTCAATGATTCGAACACTAACAATCTCACTTCCGGCAAAGAAATCGGTGACAGACTCAACCGTTGCCTCGTAAGAGAGGTTGCCGAGATGGGCAGTGAAGGGTGGGCGGTCGGGAAGCGTCTGAGGAGCGCTTTCGCGAACAGAATAGCCTGGCATCAAGTTAGAGAGACGCCTTTTCAAAACACTGTGGATAACGATGCACTCACCTCGGTCCTGCCAGGACGAAACAGCGCCACCAGGGCGGGGTCGGTCGCTCGAGGGGAGAGGCTGAGTGCCTAATTTATGCTGTTAGTTTCAATCGCTGCGACTCGGATGCGGCACGACTCTACCGGTAACTAGAGATCTGTTAGCACATGAAGCATGTATTCTTGACGCAAAGTCGTCACTCACCATAAGTCTCCTCGACCTCATCAGCCCACGAGCCACCACCAAAACCTAATCCAGCCGTCAGTATATCAACAGCATATCGACGCGGGTTGCGCTTGGAGTTGCGACGAACCAGAATCAGTCAGAAAGTCCCCCAGGGACATAGTCTGCTGTTGCTTCTTCTTGGGAGCTGCAAGCAGGGCATGTCAGCATTGATCCGAGGCGAGAAGAACGGGTTGATATGAACGGACCCATGATTGCGGCGTAAAATAACCACGCGCAGCGGATTAGGTGACCGGTGCGCGTAGGTGACGAAAGTTAAGAGGGGCGAGAGCCGACCGGAGCAGCTCTTGCGGGAAATTGAGAAATCGGTCGGAAACAGACGAAGGCGACAAAGATGGAGGACCAGGATTGTCGAGATTCGAACGGAAGGCGATAGTAATGGGACCCCGATAGCGTTACCGTGTCTGGGGTTGACGAGTCGAAATTTGCTCGAACGTGGGAAAAAAGACGAGGCCACCAAGGGCCACAGCCACGGCCACAGGAGGGTTGCTTCAATTTTCCATGGTTGAGTGGGAGGCGCTAGCCTTTATTAGGAGTAGCGTTCTTTGAATGTTTGGTGGAACCACCGTATTGTTGACAAAATCCCAGCTAAGCGGTTGTTGAGCCACAGTGAAAGCCACAGCTCATAACACAGAACAACCACATGCAACTTGATAGCTTCGTGCAACTAGAAACCGATTTCAACGGAAGTTCATAACATCGTGCGATGCTATGGGAACTAGCTTGTTGTGTCCATTGTATACCTGTTTTCTTCTTCAAGTATGTATTGCTATGCCTACCACTATCTGCTTATTACAACATTGGCGGCGAAACATTGTGGAGAAACAGCCAAACCCATCAAGACAGAAAAGATACCCAAACATAAAGGATACAGTTATGGGCTCAAAGATTTTGTGAAAGTACTTTTATCGAACGCTGATCAAGTGATAGTCACCATGTCGACCTAAACTTCCTCTGTATTGTCATCTCCTTCACTCATGGGTGGGGCTACGTGGTAACCCTTAGGTGAGCTCCGATTGGCTACACTGACCAGTGGAAGAAATACGCGACCCTGATTTTCGAGGCCCATCTGTCTGCCTCCCGCATTGTACTCATTTGTATCGACTTGTCTGCGGTCTTGTTCTATAACTTTGTATATTGACTGCTGATTGACCGTGTCATATTGTTGTGAAATCTAGCTTGTATCTCGAATTCTTACACCAGCGGATTTTCGTCTAGCGCAAGCCCTTGTGCGTCGCACCTGGCGCGCCGTTTCTATCTTCCCCATGACTTCACCATCTGGTTCCCAGGACTCGCAAGGTCTGGTCCAGCGCAAACGGCAAGGTTTCTTCTCACCAGAACTGACTGAACTTGTCTTTCCGCCTTTCAGAGTTGGGTTCTGGGCTGGTATGTGGCCACGACGACACAGTCAATGAGAAAAGATGCTCACTTATGACTCAAATAGGGACTGTGGGAGTATTGGCTGGCGTTGGCGGAGCTATCGCTAGAGATACAAACCCGGTCATCAGTGGTTCCATAACTGGTATACAATGGTTTACCCTTGGCACCACTTTCTGGTGTATGTATTGACTGACCAATCCAGCCTCGAGCATCCGCTGACAGATGCACAGTCTCTAGAAGCCTAGCTATGCGTGCATTTGGCAACCAGGAAGTAATGCGATCTTCGGACAGAGTCATGATAAGTGCAATCGCCGGAACGACTACCGGCGCTGTGTCGGGGCTTTTACGTGAGCAACTAACCGGCCAAACTGAAGGTCTTTGCCTATATTAACCTGCAACAGGGGGTCCTACAAAAATCATACCAGCCATGATCATGTGGGGGTTAATGGGGGCTGGAGGACAGATGCTCGTACATCGTCATGAAGCCAACCAGCTGAAACCCAAAACGGAAAACGGTCCCGGATTCTGGTCACGACTGAATCCGCTAAAGAAACTCACGGACGAGGAGTATATGGACATGATGAGAGAAAAGAAACTAAAGCTCGATGTCGATATCTCGCTAATAGACGACCGGATCGCAGAGCTCAGGGCACTGGAGCACAAGGCGCGGGAAGCCGAAAGTGCGGCGGCCTCTAATGAGCAACATTGAGCCAGGTCGTCGAGGACTTGGCACTGGAAGCTTGGTGTATCATTGTAGTGTGAGTGTATGAATATATAGTTTTGGTGCGAAATATAAGAGCTGCTAGAAAGCCGAAATTATAACCTAATAGCCATAGTTAGCTAACGCGATTCCCCTTTTATAGTCAATTTTACATTGACCTGATTATGAGGTGTCATATGTTGCAGAAGCTCTAGTTATCGTAATCAGTTGAATTACAATTTCGCGAGCTCCCTTTTTCTTCGAGTAGCCATCGCAGACGTCACCAGGCTGTGCCTTATGCGGGCAGGCCGTAGCATCCTGGTATGCGCCACAACAGACACAATTCGTACGCGACAGCCGGTTGGGCACGTTGACACACTGGCGACGTGGAGCTGTTGATCATATCAAAAAGGACGTTATTTTCTTGTCGATGCCAATGCTCGCGATGCAGTAAATAAATAACCCGGCGCCTGGAATTTTCCTTAGCGCCACGCCATAATTGTGCTAACCCTAGGTACCTATGTACCTACCTAGGTAGCGCCAAACGTCATCATTGCAGCGACCTGGGGCGCCACTGCATCCGCCACAGCATGCCCGCTAAAACCATCAAACCATTTACCCAGCCCAGCGATGCTCAGCTCAGCCTACCAATCATTCGTGCAGCCGCTACACTGCATACCCCAGCCTGCTTGGCGCCCTCCTCGTCTGCTCTGTCTCACTCTGTGTACAATACTGGACAAGGCCCGCCGGCTTGTTTCCTTTTGTCATCACCATTCCCCAACGATTCCCGGCCCGCGCGAGAGAACAACATTCGCCGGTATTGACTTTTCGCAGCCAGGCGGTAGACTGCGGTAGCTAACCATCGAGCCGAGCCACCCGGGGTGCCCCATTCCGCTAAAAGAGGAGACTGTCATTATCAGTACTCTCTCCTGTAGCTCCCCCAACGTTGGGATCCGCGCTCCGTCGACAACTTTCTTCCCCGCGCCTACCTTCACTTGCGCTCGCCGACTTGACCATCATCTACAGCTTTGGGACTTCGCACTTTTGCGGTGTCTCTTTTGTCGCCGTGGTGCTTCGTCTTCCTCGGTCCAAACGCCTCCGATCATCCCTCAGCCATGCCTCGCGCCGCTTCTAGAGCTTGCTAGAGCGTTTGGGGGGATCGCTAGACTGCTCACGCCGGCTCGCCCATCTTTCGGCTCTAAATCTAGATTACCAAGAGTGAAAGAACCAACACGGCTCATAGACGGAGCTTGTCTGCGCTGCCAGCCACCCACGCTGCGAGATAACCATGGCTCTCCTTAACCCGACCTTTCTACTCGGCGTCATCGTTCTTCTCTACCTGTCGTCCTTCGTACTCTTCGCCGTTATTCGAATTCTCACCGGTATATCGATCCAGCGAATAGGATACCTGTCGTTACGAAGACTCGCCTACACCCCTACGGATGGCTGCACGGTGGAAATTCGCAGTTTGGGCCTCCACATCCATCGTCCAACCTTTGCGCAGCCGACGTGGCTAAGTATCGTCCTGAACGAGCTTGTTGTTACCCTCAACGTGCAGGAGCTCGAGGGAAAGAAGTGCCGTGAGAATGGTGACGATAGCAATGCCACAGGTAGTGAATCTGAGTCTACCAATGGCCAAGTTCCAAAGATACGCCCCTCGCTGCAACGAGATGCCAGCACGCCTCCAGGTCGCGATACCTGGAAGCAGCTTTCCAAAATGAAAGACAAGATCAAGAGAATCCATCGAATGGTGAAATGGCTCAGAATGATCGATGTTATTGCGACCAACTCTACCATCCACGCTGTCGACGTGGGTAATATTCAAGTCGGAAGCATTACGTTGGCAGTCGACACGCGAAACAAAAAGGTCGACCGTGCTCGATTTTTCCATCAAAAATCGAGCTACTACAAGCATGGGCATCCAGCTGAGTGGATCGTGACGGTCCGAAGTGTTCTCTTCACAGCGGATGGAAACGAGTCGCTGGAAATATTGGACAATGCACTGCTTAGTGTGCACGGCTTTCTTCACCACTCCAGGGAGGGCTTACGTGATGCCACTGTGGCCTTGAAACTCGGCCGTGTTCACATACCGTATGATGATTTGGAGCTGTGTATGTCTCATTATCACCGGTGCCGAAGGCGGACTACCTTTTACGAATTCAAGCATTCCGTCGATGTCCCCATTCGGACGCCTCGGCAACCATCAGACATTAAAGAAAAGGACGAAGCTGGCCAAGAGACTCCCAAGGTTACACCAGGATCTCACGAATTTTTCAACTCAATTCTTCGCGGAATCAAGGAAATACAATTTGCGGTCAGCTTTATCAGCGTCAACAAGAGAGCACATTCGGTGCAACCCAATGCTCAGCCAGTATTGCTCAGTGCTTCTATGAAGGAATTTGGTGTTGATCTCCATAGATTGGATCCAAACTCGCCTTCGCACAGAATGTACTTTCCTCCCAAGGATGTGGCCCACGAAGGACTCGCTGCAGCACTTTCACTGTCTGTTGGTATCGACGACGGCAATGGAAGACCAGAGCGCCTGCTGTACATTCCAATGGCTACGACGACGATACGCACGACTCTTCCCTCCAAAACGGTGCAGCTCTCGGATGACAAACATGGTAGCGTCGAAGAGAAGAACGCCAATATCTTGTTCGCCAACTCTGTCGTCACCTCGCCCTCAGTTGACCTTGACCCGGCACACCTTCCACTTCTGATTGCGCTGCTGCAACCAAAACCCAAGCCCCCCAAGCCAAATCGAGATTCCCGCAGCAGCCTCATGTCACGCTATTTGCCCAAAGCGAACATGAAGTTCTCATTACACGAGCCCGTTATTCGCATCAAGCTCAAGACACTTGAAAAGACGGATGATCCCGACGATTTTGATCTCATTATCTCGTCCATATCATCCATCTCTCTTGATGTGGAGTCATCACACTCTCCACTCGAGGACATGCATTATTCTCTGGACGGTGCTATGCGTATTCAATCACATCAACTATACTATCACACCAATTCTGGAGACAGGTTCAACCTCATCACTACCGAAGCTACGGAACTCAAAGTGCACCTCGCAGCCAATCCCGACGTATCTGTCAAAGTTAATGGCCTCATTCAATCCCTCGCAATCAGTATGGTGCGCCCAGAAATCACCGATGGTCTTCACCAAATCGTCCGCCAACTTCGCATCGATGTTGAGCCTGAGAAGAGAGCCACTCCAAAAAGCATCAAACATAGAAATCTGCTGCGCCGAGCACCAGATTGGCTGCTCCGATGCCATCTTGAAGCGAAAGATTTTAACATCGAAGTAGCTGGTATCGACGAAGACATCTCAGACGATACTCGTGGTGTATCTGTTCATCTTGACACCATCGCCGCGGAGTATCGTGCCCACCGCTTGGACGGACTGCATCGCCGTTTGCCTAGGAGAAGAGCTCACAGCAGATCCATAACGCAGTCCGATTCCGACATGACACCATCTTCTTCGCCACGCATTAGACGCAAGGGTCAAACACACGGCGACGGAAGGAGATTGTCTTTCAACGTCAGGGGCGCTGAAGCGCAGATTATGGAAGGCATCGATCGGCTCGAAGTTGAGCCTTTTGTCAACATCCCACGCCTCGAGGTTCTGCTTTCGGCCGTGAGCGATAGCCACGGTCCCATGTTTAACGTGCAAGTGTCGGTGCGGACGATCATGATGCAATATTCGCTCCTTCGCCATTACTCAGTTGGTGTCGCTGCATTGACTTTAAGAAAGGCTTTTCTGAGACCCGGACGAGAAGCACCGCGAGCTCAAGAACCGTCACACTTCAGAGCAAACCGATTGTCCCCACCAAGCCGCTCCGGCGCAGACTCATCGATAATAACGCCGGAATTAGTCATTCTGGATGTCAAAGCTGCCCTGGTGCAGCTAAAAGCAGAGATGCCTTACGACCCACTCATCATGCTGCGCATTTATGGCCTGGAGGCTGGACGCCACAGATGGTCAACACCGTATATGACATCCACGCTCATTCGCTTCTACGTACAGCCTCCTAGAATGCGAAATGTCTGGGCTCGCATGATTGGCATCAAATCAGGCCGCCTCGACCTACGAGAAACCAGGCATAAGACGACAAATAGGCCTGTCGTGGAAGAACGACTCATCGACATCTCCACAGAAGCAATTCGAATTGCGGTGCCCCACGAGGTGATTGTCGCTCGCATCAGCGACAACATCGTCAATGTTGTCAAATCTGTGCAGCAGCTTCACCATCGCTTCAAAACTGGCACGAATGAGTACATCCTTGAAAAGAAGCCGGAAGGGCCGAAGCAAGTTCCAAAGATTGCTGTCCGCTCGCGCAACTTTCTGTTTGAGATCGAGGATGGAGCCTTTGAGTGGAAGCTGGGTATGATTTACCGCGCTGGTCGGCAGGAGCAAGTCCAGCGCTTGGCTCGTGATGAGGCTTTCAACCTGAAAATTAAAAAAGTGCAAGAGGAAGAAGCACGACGTGGCGGTAGCAAACTCCGTTCTCGATCTACATTCGCACGCGGCCGGGTCGACAACAATTCAACCTCTTGGTTTCGGAACCGCAGTGCCGATCCTTACCGTCAAGATCGTAGAGCTCGCTCCCCACGACGAGGCGGTCTTCCCACCTACGACCCAGAAGGCGGCAACCGCACTGTCAGTGGCGACGCAACAGTCAGCGAATCTGATGCTCGCGCTCACCTGGACATGTTTAATGCTCAGTCATGGAAGAAGCGGATCGATCAAGCATGTGCGACGTCACAAGAAAGCATTCGCGAGCTGCGAGAAACGTTCTGGGGACGGAATCACCTCCCTGATGATATCCAAGAAACTGAGAACATTCTAGAGGTACCACCACGACCGGCTCTCATGTCTACAATGATTTCCGACTTGCAAGTAATTATCGACAAGCCTTCGTTTGCCATGAAAGACCTTCCAGACTTCCTTTACAAGGTCGGCAAGGGCATGCCTCGTGACATGAAATACGGCCTCTTGGTACCAATGCACATTGCAATCAATATGAATGAGGCGAGGGTTACTTTGCGAGACTATCCACTTCCAGTGTTGCACATTCCGTGCCTGAGATCTGGGCAATCTTCGAGGCAGCCATCTGTCTCCCTCAGAACAAATTTCGTTCTGGCAGAAGAATTCCGCGGCATCGAATCTACAAGGCGAGTTCGTGTCAATGTCATCCCACCTAAGAGCAGCGACCCCGCAGCTTCCAACGAAGGTGGCTTTGCGATTGAAGTCCGACGAACAATGGGACCAGTGAAATCCTTCACGGATGTCTCCATGGATATCAATACAGCTCTGCCTACCCGAATCACCTGGAGCCCATGTTATCAGCCCGCTATACAAGACATGATGATGGCCATCGAATCGTTTACAAAGCCACCCATTGATCCATCTGAAAGAGTTGGTTTCTGGGACAAGCTGAGGCTCAATTTTCACTCTCGCATTCATGTAGCTTGGAAAGGCGACGGCGATGTACACCTCGCACTGAAAGGAACACGCGATCCCTATCAAGTGACTGGCAACGGTGCTGGTTTCCTCATGTGCTGGCGAAACGATGTTCGCTGGAACATCAATGCAGAAGACAACCCGAAGCAGTTCATGACAGTGGATAGTGGAGAGTATGTGTTGGCCGTACCCGATTACAGTCATCAAGTACGTGAATCGGCTAGAAGGCGGCTCGAGGATGGCAGCCATCTAGCTGAGGACAACCTCAGGCAGGCAACAGCTTTCAAGAAGGTAATCATGAAGCTCTCTGGCAAGGTACAGTGGCTAGCTGGCTTGGTATTTGAAAAGGAGATCGAAAATGGACATCGAAGCTTCGATTTTATCCCTCATTACAATGTCGTACTCAAGAATCCACACTTCGCCCACAACGACGGGAATCTTCCATACGATGCTTTTCGCGGCTTCAGAAGCCGGCATATTCACTTGTCGATTGCAGTGCGAGCCCCGGTCGATCGCGAATGGTTGTCTTCAAATCCGGAACCATCACGAAGCTACAACACAATTCATTTATCACCGCGCTTCTTCACGCACTTCTTCACGTGGTGGGGTCTCTTTAGTCAACCCATGTCTCTTCCCATCCGGCAAGGTAATCTTTTCCCTGGTCGAGAGAAAAGTAGCAAGAAGTTTGGCAGACATTTGGCCACAGTTAAGTATAGCATCTTGCTTGCGCCGCTGTTTCTGAGCCACATCTACAAGCACAAAGACGCAGAGGACTATGCGCAGAATGAGGCAGTATCAGCCACAGGTCTAAAGGTGCGCTTCGACAGTTTTATGCTCGATTTGCATCAGCGCCGAGAGGAATTCAACACTTTGGCGAAAACAAAGAACTCTCCCAGCAGGACTTCAGGCATCAAGATTCACGCTGGCCACCTTGATCTCGCAGCTGCGGACATCCGAGCTGTATCGGCAAGTTTGAAGGGGACAACGACTGAAGCGATCAAGAAGGGCTCCATCTCATCACTGATCACGGACCAAATAGACAATGACAAACCTGATCTTGCGCAGTTCACCATCCCTGACAACGACTTTAGTTGGATTGATATGGACGACTTTGTTGAATTAGACTGGATTTTGCCAACAGAGGCGCATCCTGACACTAAAATTCTTCCCCTGGCATACGCTCCAAGATTCACATATTTCCGGCAGACAGACATCGGTGGAGTCATCTCTGGCGACCCGACCCGAACAAGTCCGTTTGGCAATGAACCAACCCACTTCTGTCTGCTCAGTCAAGAAGACGACAACAAGAAAGTTCAGATGCAGCTGATCCAAGAGCGGCTTGATCAATTGGAGGTTCAGATGCTGTCCCACTCCCGCAACGTCGGCGAAGCTGAGTTGAAGCTCGTGCAGGCCACGACCAAGGACAGCAGTCTTGTGGAAGACTTTGATGCTCTGAAGCGACACACAAGTGTTCTCAAGGACAAGAAAGCCTTCTTAGAGAATATGATGGAGCAAGTTCGAATTAAGATTCGGAGCAGCGGTAGTCGCGCATTCACTCCGTCCTTGACCCGTGATCCGTCTTCGGATGACTCGAGTAGTGAAGATCAAGTGATGGATATTCCGCCTACGTCGCACTTTGAGAGCGAATTCAACAATCGGTTTGTGATTCACAATATGCAGTTGAAGTGGAACAATCTGCTACGGAATATTGTGCTGCGCTACATTCACCAAAACGGTCAAAGACGAGGCTTTGTGTACTACCTCTCCCGACGTGCAATCAAGTTCATTCTGGACATGGTGGATGAGCAGAACAAGACGAAGACGACGAATCCTGGGAAATCTCAGGCGACGCCGGCTGCCAAGTCCTCCCCAGCCACGCCTAACAACGGAAAGCAAGCCCCCCCAGATTTGGAGGATCGCATCCGAAGTATACTGGAAGATGGAAGGAGATTTTCTGCTACTTCTAATTTCGTCCCTAACGAAGACGGATCCATCAGCGGCACCATTGAAGACCTCGAGTGCGGGATCTCCAAGGACTTTAGCCCCCAAAATAGCTACCACGTGCGGCTTATTGCCCCCCAAATTCAGCTACAGAGTGACAAAAACAAGAAGCATGTGGTTCTGATCACTGCCAAGGGTATGGAGCTCAAAGTCGTTGAAGTCATGGATAAAGACCGCATCTCCGATACTGTCAGCGGCCTGGTCCAGCGCCGATTTCTCGTCAATATGGATAGTACTCAGTTCTTCGTCACCCATCAAAAGTGGTTCCAAACCCACCTGGTGTCGATGTATGCTGGAAGCAGATACGGCACACCTAGTGGCTCAGCCTGGCCTCCGTGGGTCCCGATGGAGATCATGTTTGACTTCCAAGCCGATCCCTTTGGCTTCAAGCGTGTTGTGCGGAAAACGTCTGCGGTGCTTCGCTTTGACAAATACAACACACTTCGTTTGAAGTACAACGCGGAAGTCGGCACCGAGGACAATGGCGATTCGGACGAGCAGGCTACGGAGTCGAGGACAGACAATCTCTGGATTGAATTCCCTCAAGTCCGTGTCCTGTGCAATTCGTCGCAATACTATGCCATGTACGTTATCGTGCTCGACCTGCTCATGTACAGCGAACCACTCGAGAAGACGAGAAGTGAGCGATTGGAAAAGATTATGCTGGCTTCCGATTTTAGCGATCTCAGCGGCGCACCGGCAATGGTGATGAAGCTGCAGGAGAGGATCAGGCAGCTGGAGGAGATCAAGATGCACTTCCAAGTATATTCCAAGTATCTAGACAAACGAGGCTGGGAAGAACGCCTGTTACTGGAGCGTGATTTGGCTGCTTGCGAGGATGAGTTGTTTTTCCTGATGAAGGCAACCACAACTTCACAGCGCAAGCACGATGTGAGTGCGGAATCGACACCGTTGGTGAAGTGGAGTATCGCGGCTCGTGAGATTGTGTGGCATCTCATTCAGAACACAAGTGAACCGTTGGTGGAGCTGCAGCTGAAGGATGTTGAGTACGATCGGACTGATAATTCGGACGGTTCTCATATGAACCTGTTCCGCGTGAAAAAGATTCTCGGACTGAACCTGCTCAAAGACGCAACCTATCCAGAAATCATTGCGCCGTATGTTGATGGTGAGAAGGCTAAGAAGAAGGACGGCGACGAAGACATGATTCGTGTGTACTGGCACATGCTTGACGCCATTGCCGGAATCCCAGTGATGGATAGTTTCGAAGTGAATTTGTTCCCAATGAAAGTCCAGCTGGAGCGCGAAGCTGGTCAACGCCTCTTTCAGTACATTTTTCCTGATATGGACGGCGAAAAGTCGTCTGCAGGTAAACCTGAGACGCCGGCAATTATCAGAACGGAGGCCGACGATGACGATACTGAGTCCCTTGCAAGCTCAACAGGCAGGCTAGCAACGTCAGGCGGTTTGACGGTGGACAAGGAAGCCAACTTCTCGACGCGTCCTGGGTCGCTAGAGCTACGACTTCGTCCAACACTGTCTTCTGTCGGTCCTGAGGAAGGTCCAAGTCCTAACAAGGCCATGAGTGTTCATTCTACCGAGAGCCAAAGCGGCTTTCGCCTGTTCCGATCCAGTGGAACGGGCAAGACGATTGGCAAGAAGTCTTCTCATGATTCATTGAGATCTGGCCGCCCTGGTGCCCTGGCTCGCGCTTCGACGGGCCTGTCGACAAAAGATAGTCGAGAGTCGGAGGCTAAAAAGTCGTCGCGTTTCAACAAGGGCAAGAAGGTGGATGACAAGCAATCTGACGATCTTAGCAAGATGATGGATCGTGCCAGCAATTACACGACTTTTGCCCACATCAAGATGCCGTCGGTTGTTTTGTGTCTGAGCTACAAAGGCAAAGACCAGCGCAACTTTGAAGACGTTCACGATTTTGTGTTTCGACTGCCGACGTTAGAATGGCAGAACAAGACTTGGTCGAACCTGGACCTGGCGCTGGCGCTGAAGAAGGCAGTTATGAAGGCGCTCATCTCGCACACAGGCGCTATTATTGGCAACAAATTTTCCAAGCACCGTCCCAACGCTGAGCAAAGAAGCAAGCTTCGCGAAATGGCCAACAGCTCGGTGCTGATTGCACCTGTTCACACAAGCGGTGCGGCTTCGACGTACGCTTGCAGCATCAATGACAGCGACGACTCGTCGAGCCTGTACGGCGCATCTCCGGTTGACTACTCGCGATCGCCACCGCAGTCGCGCGGTAGCGCTCACAACAGCGTTACACCGTTTCAGCGCCCGGAAAGCCGTGGTAGCAGCATCAGCGGCTTCAGTCAAATGACTGGTGGCTCCAGCCATGCTGGCGGAGGACAGGCCCCCGCGTTCCTGACTATGACGCCACCGACACCTGTGGATGCAAAAAACTCGGAAGGCGGTGGACTCGGCCTCGGTATCGAATACCTACGTCCGTCGTCTAGCGGCGGCGTTGCTGGCTCATCGCACCGGCGACTACTCAGAAACTTACCGGCGAGCGACAACCGGCCTGCCACCAGCGCGAGCACCATGAGCAGCCACGCAGAGAGCTCGGCCGCGGCGAGTGAAGGACGTCGGAAGAGCGGCGGTGGGGGGCTGAAGAGCAAAATTCATCTGTTTGGACGCAAGAGCCATAGAGAGAGCTCAGGCAAAACAGAGGACGACGAATCGGGCGATGAGGCGAAGAGCCGAGGCAAGCGATTGAGCTGGACACAGGGCCGAACAAAGACTGGCTAAATCATCAAGAGGTAAATTAGACAGTGTACGATATCAGTGAGATGCGTCTAATGGAGGGTTGGAAAGGAAAAGTTGGAAGCGGGCAGGGGTTACACGGCAAAGGGCAGACGGGGTATTTGGCGTTGAGTGGTATACAAGCGCCATACGCGCAACATCTTTTGTGGTTTGCTGTGTCTTTATTAAAAGGTTGGGCGGCTACCCCGAAAAGGGTATTGTTACTTTTTTGCGCATTCTTTTCAGCATACAGTCGTTTTTATTTCTTTGTATCATCTTTATTCTGGGGGCTGCGCCATGGGCGAAGCCTTCTCTGGTGTCGGGAACACAAACCGTCATTACATGTGCAGGCAAATTTTGATTTGTACTGAAATTACCTAAATGAACTGTTCCCAAAAGCTGTATTACAAGACGTTTGATGCATTATGATGAGGCAAGACATGATGTGACAAGTTTTATTCAACTAGGACATGCCACGGCCCGTCAAACAATACCTTGTACTTGTTCATCAGCATGCCCTTGTCATCAAACGAGACGCCCTCGGTCCTGAGCAAGTCGAGCTTGCGCTGAATATTCGTCCCCGAGGGAGGCTGCGCCCTCTCGTTGTTCCTGCCGGCCTTGACCCTGCCGGCTCTGCTCTGCGACGCCTTGCCCGTGATGTGCTCCTCGTCGCGTCCTCCCCCGCGCTGTCGCGCAAACGTGGCCTTTTCAATCACCTCGCCGTCGTAGCCGTTGACGTAGCCGGTGCTGGCAACGCAGCGGTGGCAGGGGATGCGCGGCGCAAAGACGTTGTTGCGCAGGGCGTTGCCGACGGCGCGGGGCGAGGTGCGCAGGGCGCGGGCGATGCTGCCGTAGGTGGTGACGCGGCCGGCGGGAATCTGCTTGAGGAGATGAAAGACGCGTTTCTGAAAAGGTGTGAGGATGGCGGCTTCTTTGGCGGTGAAGGCGAGGGGGGAAGAATAAGAGGAAGAAGTGGTGATGATGGTGGTGGTGCCGGAGGGGTTGGTGGGCGTGTACATTGTCATGCGGGTGGCCATGGTGAATGCAATTTGGCAGAGAAGTAAAGTGGATGATGATGATGATGATGATGATAGATGGGGTGGACGGGCGTTGGCAGGGCGGGTTATATATATATATATATATATACGTCTACGAAAGAATGGTGATGAAGAGCGAATGAGTCGACTGAGGGCGCGGGTCATGCACAGTTGCTTTCGAATTTGGCTTGAGACGCGCCAGCAAACGGATTTCTAAGCGTGAATTTATTGTCATGAATCTTGGTGTTGCTTTCAATGTCGAAAGCCTCCTTTTCAGCACCAGTGCCGAGTTGGTCGCTCTAACCCGTCTAGTCTGCATAGCAATGCTGCGGAGCAGCTCGGATAACTATTTGTCGGTCTATAGCAAGTAACATTTGCCGGAGAAAATTCTGATTGTCTGTATTCAACCAAAGAAGGAAAAATATTCGAAAGGCAGAAGGGCATCGGGCATTGTCAAGAAGGTAATCATGAAGCTCTCTGGCAAGGTACAGTGGGCTGGTTGGCTGTCGTTTGACCATTGTAGTTGCTACAACTGCCACCAAACATACCTAAGGTAAGGATGTGAGGCACCCACATCTTGCACAAACACCATCATCCACACACCATTATCGTATCATTACAAATGGGGTGATAAACATCAAGCAGCTGACTGTCAAAATCTAAAAGGAGCGCAATGAATCAATACGATTACAGCGCATCAAGAGTAAGATGTGTTTGTCACGTCTCTGAGCTATGCAAGGCCTAATATGGACAAAGCGCAGTTGATTGTGCCGCCAATACCTTCGCCAGCGACAAACCCAGCAGCCACTCCAAACGCATACATCTCGAACCGCTTGACGCTCTTGATTCGCCATATTGCCGCCACCACGCCGCCAATCATCATAGTCGTCGCCGTCTGCGCATTGGGAAGCGTAAAAGCCAGCCCAAAGATCATCATGTTGGGCCAATAGGGCTTGGTCCAGGCATAGCCCGAGCTGCAGAGGACGTGCTTTGCAACGACCAAAACGCTGGAAATGGCCGCCAAGAGGATGGACACGTAAACGCTAGAGAGAGGAATCGAGGGATTTGGGGTGCTGGCAACGACGGCGACTGCTCGCCAAGCCGCCACTGTTGGCGCGGGAAAGTCGCAGGTGCTTGCGTCGCCCGTGATGATGCATGGGTAGGCTGTGGCGAAGAGAAGGAAGATGGCGGGCGCGACGAGGGATGCGACGAGGGTGCCCAGGAGCTGAGTGGCGTACTGGAGGTGCGCTGGAGTGCCGAGCAAGAAGCCAACACGAAAGTCACCCATGAGGTCTTTCAACAAGTTAGCTTTGTGATTGCCCGCAGTCTCCATGGACGAAAATTGAGCATCATACCACAGCCTTGGCATGCGCCAATGTTGGTAATGCTGGCGCCTACCAAGTTCAGCCGCTGAGCTGCCTCGACGGATGCTCCCGAGGCTCGCGTAATGGTGCCGAGCGCTATTTGTGAGACTTTTGAAATGGCATTGATTGGAGTCGTATCTGAACAGGAGTTAAATATTGAACGACAATCGACCGGTAAGTCGAATGGCATGGTAATTGCACGTACCAGTAGCTCCTGTGGCTTGGATGGCAATCAAGGTCAGAGACAGCGACAGGACCAAGGCTATGACTGCCTCGAGGAGCGGCATGCCGAACTGAAAGAACAAGATGAATAGAGCCACAATTATAACGACGATCAAGCCCGGAAGCCACATCCATAACTCGATATCGTTATTTGGTACTGGCTTCTCATTTGTCCGATCGGGGTCCTGGTCGACAGCCGCGTACTGAAACGAAGTAGTACCGCGTCGGCGTAGGAGTGGCTGTAGTAGGCCCGTTATCGCAGTATAGATGAGTTTCCAGATCTTGTTCGACTGACACAGAAGCTCTGCGATTTACATTAATGATGTTGCCTACTTGCTGGGGGAGCGCATTCGAGCTGTCATACCTAAAAACGCCACGGCGAGAGTGCAGGCGACACCAGGCCACAACAACCAGTATCGAGGGCTTGGATACTCTGCGGTAGAATACGTATTCGACATGGCCGTGTAAGATGCGAGACCCGGCAACGCTGCGTCTGTGCTGTTTGAGGACTCGCCGAAAGCCAAGTCAACAGATACCAGGTACGGTCCTAGCAGGCCCCTGTTGCGATATTAGCTTGTTATGTGCAAGACTGTGTATTCTGGGCGCGACATGCTGCGTACCAGGCAAAGAGGGCGCCGGCAAAGAAGGAACAGGCAACGCCAAAATCAACGAGAAACCCAGAACCAATCATTGCTGGTGACCATTCTAGAACCCAGCCCCAGCTCTCTGCCGCAATGGCAAATCTCGTAATGCGGTCGGGCAGTCGGGCATGCGCAACCCAGGTAAATATATGCCAGTTCTGTATGCACCAAGTCAGGCATAATTCTTGAGGGGGGTATAAGGTACTGTGATGCTCACCCAGAGAACATTTGGCAGAAACACAGAGGCGACTCGTAGCACCATGGCCGCTACAAAAGCAATTACGGTCCATTTCATCTTATCGCGAGCCAGCTTCTCCCCGCCGGCCGCCGAGTGCATGCTGCGAATTGTTGCCGCCGTCGCAAAGGACGAGGGGAAAACGAGATTCAAGTCTCGCGCCGCCTTGTGGATGAAGAACTTGCGCACTTGCTCAAAGATGTGAGAAGGCTAATTCATGCTTCGAATTTGGAAAAGGCCAGAGACTTACAGGGAACGATGGAGAGGAGACCGAAATAGCCTCCGATGGTGGTGAGAATGACGAGACGGATAAAGTCCTTGGCGGGCGTCGTGAGGAGATTGAGCTGGTAGAGCGCGGGGATGCCCGAGATGAAGACGTTGGACATGCCGCCAGAGGCCGTCGCCATGGTTTGCGCAATGTTATTCTCGTGCGGACCAAAAGAGGAAGAGGTGCGTTTTAAAACAGCAAAGCTGACAATGGCCTGGAGAGAGCTGTATATCAGTCACTGTATCTCCCAAAAGGCGCGACAAAGAGTACGCACGCCTAGGACATTGGCCGAGGTGGTCCAGCCGGCCCGGAGACCAATGTAAATGTTGGATGCATTGACGAGGACGCCGCAAAGAATTCCGACAATGGCCGCTCGAAATGTAATGATTTGGCCTTGACAAGCCGGTATATCGGTAAATGGCACAAAAGTGTCCAAAGAGGCCGGGGGATCTGCGACGTCTGATGCGGCCAGCGCTTCGACTCTTGTCTCGTCACTGTCTGTGCTGGACGTTTCTCTGTGGACAGACATTTTGCCTTTTTTCTTCGATTTTAGATATGTAAAAGAGGGCTGGAGACGCCGACAACTGCTCCTTGCACTACAAGATCAAACAAGCTGTGCAGACTGGATTTGGCGGGTGCAGCAGCAGTCTGGCTTCCGCTGTAGGTGTGTCGCTGCTAAGCTGCACAAGGCCAGCCTGTGTCATGCGACTGTGTGGGTTGTGATTGCATGACAGCCTTGACAGCCTTGACAGTCATTGGTTTACAGTGCATGAGGAATTCTGCAGCTATTTACGTGGCTTTTTCTCAAGGATTTAATCGTGGACAAATATTGAACAGTCCATATGTAAGTAAGAGACCATAGTGGATGAAAACTTGGCGTTTAATGATGAGAGAATCCCGTTCGATGATTAAAAGCTTCATTTTAATCAATCTATAAACACAACCATTGAAACTTGCCCCAATTAGTGGTGTAATTCTTTGTCAATCGCACCGATCCGGTCTCCTTCACCGTCTGGATATACCACCCCTGAGAGCAAAACAAATCTGATTAGCATCCCAGCCTCATCTTTTCAAATGTAAACGACTGCCCACTTACCCTTTGTCGGATGGACCAACCACCCGGGCTTGAGCATATCAACGGCGCGGTCTTGGCTCCAACCATAGAGCTTGGCCCAGTTGACGCACTGATGCGACGTCGAGTTGACCACTGGCAGCCGGCTATCTTGCCTCCAGATGTAGGTGATTAAGCCGACATCGCCATGACACATGGCAGACTGCCGTAAAAAGTCGAGGCAGTGTTCTTTTTCGGACAATGAGCCCGCTGGTTAGCAGCCTTTTCCGGTATAACTAAATGGAGTTGGGGGACACGAGCTCACCGTTGTGTAGTCTGTTCATATCTAATTGATGCTCGGTGAAATCTGGGAAATAGTAATCCGTGTACATGAATTGGTGTAGTCGTTTTATGCAGTGCAGCTCGTGAAAGACGTTTAACGTGCCAATGTAGTCGTCGCTTCCGGGTACGGCGACGCCGATTTTTTCACGACCATGATGTTTAAAATATTCGGCTTCAATCCGCACATTCTGGCCTGGCAAGAATAAAACTTAAATGGTGGGATATTCCAGCGCAGGGATGGGGAACATACTGTTTAACAAGTCATGCCAGGCTTTGTCGAGCTCTGGTGAGGGCGCGCCAGAGTATATGCTCAGGTCTTGTATATGGTCTTCGAGGGTGAATTTCGTATCCTTCCACTCGATGACTTTTGCTGCCGGCGCTGCAAAGAAAAAATCAATAAATAAATTCAGCATATTCCAAATCGTCAGGTCTTTTTCTTCCGTTCCTTTTTTTTCGTGTGGGAATCTACTTACAATACGGCACTCCGGGTGCTCCGGCGCAACAAGACGACGGGCGTTTGCCCGCCGCGACTAGACCCAGTACCAGCAGATACAAGGCCAACAAAGCAGCGTGAAATAGTAAGAATGTTGAATCTCGCCACAGCGACCTTGGAGCTGTTTGCTGCGGCTGTCTGCCTGCTGAGCCTTTTTCTAGCAGACCTTGGCTCGAGCCGCGTTCGTCTTGGTCGTCGTCGCCGTCGAGAAGAGGGACTGGACGGAATGGTGCTGCTGCCTGCCTGGCACGCTTAATCTTTGACCAGCTATACTGCTTTGCGTACTGAAAAGTGGCCGCCATTGTCGTTGTAGCATTCGCGACTGAGAGAATCAATAAGTTAACGAATGGGATGGGAAAATTGTAAACTAGAGGCGAGGCTGTCTTCAACTGTACGCACGAATTGGGACAGGGCGATTGGCGTAGAGATTCGGGTGCACCGCTTGCCTGGAGGGATGGAAACACCAAAGAAAGTCAAAAGACTCGAGTGAAAGCTCACTAGCACAGCCACAGCCTCTGCCCTGCCACGGCGTGTTTCTAGGAACTGGAGGGGGGCGTCCGTTTTTGACTGCCGTGACTTGTAAGTTGTCACCGTGACAGTGCATAACGTCACTAACAGCTGGCCAATCACAGGGCAACATTTCCCATCTACCATCTGTTTTGGGACACCACTACCACTACAGACCCGCGGGCATCCAAAGTACACTAGAAACCATCTTGTAAGAGGCAACACGAATTCATGAAAAAAAGTGAAGGAGACTATCCACTAGATGGAGCTCATGAACTGAATAGTTTTTATTTGTGGTAATTGTTTGAGATGAAAAAAAAAAAAAAAAAATCAGACTGGTATTCTTGCATGTCAAAGTGATGGTGGTGCTAAAGCCACGAGGGTATATACCACGGCTTATCAGATGGCAGTTTTGGAACTGGCTTTTCATCCTGCGTTGCCAACTCTTTGAGCTTTGGAAACCACTAGTCAACAACAAAAAATTTAGTATTCGTCTACAGAGTTAAAAATAAAAAAAAAGTCGAGGCCTTTTTTTTCATAATGTTAACTCACCGGCGTGCCAAACCCGCTGGCCATGTCCCAGCCTTCCATTGCCGGGAATCCCGTCGTATTGCAGCCAAACGTGCTCCCATGGACAACATCCATGAAGCCGCCCCCCCGCGAAGCTGTCGAGTAGATCCACGGATTCAAAAAGCCAAGCGCTGGCTTTCCTCGTGCTAGTCGAGCGTCGTTGAGCAACGCCACAATGCCCGCGAAAATGGGCGCCGACGCGCTCGTCCCGTCCACCACCTTTGTCTTGCCGTTCCAAATCGTCACGATCCGGTACCCCATGGCCGCCACATCAGGATACGCCCTGCCTTTTGCGTTATAGAGGCCCCCGTGCCGGCCGCCCAGCTTCTCCAGGTACCGCGCGACCGCTGCATCCTGGTACTTTGGCCGCGCAAAGTACTCGCTGAACCCGCCGCCGCTCACAAAATGGTTCTTTTCATTGTACCCAACCACCTGCGGGCTCACGCCCCTAGTCGCCGCCACCGAGGTCACGTACGGGCAGCTATCCGGAAAGCGCGCCGCAAAGCGTGTACGCTGACGAGGATGGCCGCTGATGATGGCTCGGTCGTGGCACTGCGCGGGCTTGCCGACGCCCCAGTCGCCCGAGCCAAAGAGCACGCTGACGCCGCGCGCGCCGAGCTGCGCAAAGCCCTGGCACACGCGCCGCGCATACGACGGCGGCACCGTGTACTCGGTGTCGGCGTACGAGATGCTCAGCACGGCGGGCAGGTTGTTGTTGTCGCGCTGCGCCAGCAGCCAGGTGATGAGCCGCAAGAACGGCTCGTTGTCGTTGACCGGCGCCGACGGGTCGGGCGCGAACGCGGGCAGAGGACCCCCGACCGTGTACGTCATCAGAGGTGTCGGATGGCCCATGCCCAAGAGAACCTGCGCATCTAGACCGCCTTCTTTGCCATGGCCGTTATCGAGCTGCTCCTGCGTCGACGGTGACTGGCGGTTCACGCCGCCGGCAATCTCGGTGATGCCAAAGGTATCAGCTGCGGCGGCGGCGTCGGGGCGGTAGGTCTGGAGGAATTGTCTGGCGTCTGTCCGGTTGTTGAATTCGCCAGCGAAATTGCACAGCGCCATTTTGTTTTTCTCGGTCGCTTGCGCTGTGTAATTCAGAGTGCCGTAGAGGACGCGCAAGCACAGCGGTGTGATTGCGGTGGTGTTGCAAGCTTGTTCTGGGGTTATATCCAGGGGAGGGTTGGCGATGTCGATTCCGTTTAAAATCGCGAGGCCATCTGGAACATCTTTTGCATAGTCATTCAGAGACTCTGTGGGCCGCTTTAGATGGTTTGTCTCATTGGAGTCCCTGCCGCGAATACTGAAAAAGGCATTCGTAGGATGTATTGTATCGATGATGTCGTGTACATCAGCCGGCAGAGACCACTGCTCTGACCGAATGACATCTGACCCATCACGGCGGTACAAGTGATAATTCGCCTTGAGTAGTGATTCTGCCACTGAGACTGTCATATTCGGTATGCTAACCCAATCCTTTGCCGGGCTGTATTGCAGCTGATGACGACCAATGCCGTGAGCTCCCAGCCAAGCATGAAGCTTTGCTAGTGCTTCATCCGTCGGCGCGATAAAAGCATCTACCTGCTCGGCCGACAGATGCGTCCCATAGCTATGATGCAAAGGGTCTGAGATTTCGAAAAGGCGCTTCTCCAGACCGGCAAAGTTGCCGTGTTTGACGCCAATGTGCAGCGGGAAATGGTAGTCTGGGTCAGCTTGGCCTATCCTCGTCCAGTCGTCTGGAGCGGGATGATGCTCTTTTAGGATATGTAGCGGTTGTTTCGACAAGCCGACACTGCCCTGGAAGAATCTGCTGGTGGGTAAGAGAAGAAGCGGCCAGTACTTGGACATGGTATCTTGATGACTTTTTCTTCTGGGAAAAGAAAAAAAAAATAGAGAAATTGGCTCCTTGGTGCTTGTTGCTCCAAATCTAGAGTCGCTTCTACCATTGGGCTGAGCTCGATATCCCCCAGTGTTGCCATCACCAGAGGCGGTAGGAAACTACAGTGGGTGTAGAGGGGGGGGGGGGGTGAGCCGCATGCATTAGGGACCTACTGCCCGCAAATCGCCATTTCTAGTGGGAAACAATTAATCATAATCCGCTATAGCTACGGGGGCTTTGCTGCACGGATGCCCTGTAACTCTACTGGTACCTAGGTCATAAGTGACATGATAGCCACCCATTCAGCTGTCATGCCACCCAAGTCACTGGCACCCCCCCTCAGCCAGCCACCTGAAGCACTACCACGCACCGTCACAGCCCTTTTCCAGTTACCAGTGTCCTGAAGCCCCAATCTCGCAGCGCAACCAGTCTCACACTTTGGTCTGTCTGGCCGGCCTGCATCCATTTGGCGAATCCATAGACACTTCCAAGCTCACTCTGTACGGTCTCTTGGGAAGAATTCCTCCTTCCAGGTCCAATCCAGTTTCGTCTTGACTAATTATTCGACTCTCAAGAAACCATGTTATTTGCAAAGAAGAAGCTTCCTTTTCTCTTTGACCGGGCCGCCATGGAAAAGGCCGCTGTAACACGCGGCAAAACCGTGGACGGGTCAGAGAGCGGCGACTCGTCCTTCCTCGACGAAGAAGAGATTCGTAATGTGCGATCCAGGAAATCTTCTCAAAAGCGATGGTGGGTTGGCTTCTTTACCATTCACCTATTTATCTTGGCCTTTTATCTCGGCACGGTCTTGAGCATGCGGGCGGAACTGGCCAAGTTGCGCAAGCACGGGCTGCAGCTCATCCAGAGTAAGTGACCCCTCAAAACGCATAACCCTGATGGCAAAAGGTAGTGTGTTGACTTTGGAATAGCTCCGGCTTCTGGGGTTCTGGAGTGGTCCGAGCATACCTTTGTCGAAAACAGCTTCTCGCATGGGCCATTTTCTGGTTATCCTCGGGATGAGATTGATCAGAATTGGCATGACCTCATCAACTGTACGTTTTTTTTTACAAACCTTTACTAAAATCGACAATCTACTCGATTTTGAGAGATTTTATTCTGACGGTTGCAAAGATGAAAACATCATTATTGAGCCTGAAATCATTGCCAAACTTGGCCGTCAAGACATTGCAGTCGCCGACCCCGAAGGCCGGGGTTATCTTGGAACGCTCAACGTGTATCATCAGCTGCACTGCATTGTAAGTGTGCAATCATCATTGCCAGGAAACTTTGACGACTAATAAGCCCAATTCTCGTTTTTTTAGAAGCGACTCTGGCAGTATACATATCCAGAGGTATACCGCAAGAATCAGACACCCGCACAAGCTGAAGCAGATCGCCTGCACAAAGGTACGCCAGTATATATATATATATATATCTTTTCCATCCAAACTGTAATAGCTGCTGACCACTGTATCAGAGCACTGCTTTGATTTCCTTCGACAATCCGTCATGTGTCTTGCAGATATCGGCATCATTACGTATCAGTGGACTGAAGATCGCATGGTTCCCATTGCAAACTCAACCACACACCAGTGTGCCAACTGGAAGAAGCTGGATGATTGGACCAAGAAGCGAAGCGTAGACATGATGAAGCCCGGCTGGCTGATTCACCCAACAAAAGGTGTGCAGAAGTGCCGATTTCAGAATGAAAGCTTCCATTGCTAACATTTTATAGGATATGCTTACAAGGATCAAGACCACCACCATTAATTATTTGCAAAGTCTGAGTCATCATGTTTAAATAAACTGCTTTTTTTTCCCTGTTGCGGTGAACTGCTGCTACGAATCGCGACGTGTACGTCTTATAGTGGGTGTAGTGCTGTAGGACTGCAAGACTGGAAGCTGATGACGACGCACTGCTATAGGCGTCTGTATGAGAAGTAATACAGATATATCAAGGTACAGCGTGAAAAGATGGACGATACCAAGACACAACGTAGAAATCTAATGTAAAAGACTTTGCAAGAGTCATTCAAGGCCATTTAATCATTTAAATTTACGCAGACTATTGTATCATTCTTCCACTATACAATATACCAAGGATGATTCCAACGAAACGCTCTCGAAAGGGCCAAATCCTTCAGTTCCGGGAACCACTTCAAACATGTCAGTTACTTGATATCTTGAACCACTTTCTGCAAAAAAAAAAAAAAAAAGTATAAAGACGTACCGGTGTCCCCAAGCCCGTTGCGGCATCCCAGCCAACGGCAGCTGGAAAGCCAGTGGTGTTGCAGCCCGTTGCCGCGCCGTGAGTGACGTCGCGCAAGCCCGACTTGGCAGAGTAAAGCCACGGATTCAAGAATCCGAGCGGCGGCTTCTTTTCCGCCACGAGCGCGTCGTTGAGCAAGGCAATGATGGCGGCCACTGCCGGCGCCGAGCCGCTGGTCCCGTCCATGAGGTTCGAACTGCCATTGTAAATCATGGCGTAATGATAGCCCTGGGCGGAAATGTCTGGGATGGCCCGCCCGTGGGCATTGTACAGGCCTGCGTGAAGTTGTCCGATGCTTTTGAGATATGCTTCTACGGCTGCATCTTGGTAGGACGGGCGTTTAAAGTAGTTGCTAAAGCCGCTGCCTAAAAAAAAGAAAAAAAAGAAAAAAAAAAAAGAAAATGGTTAGTTGGAAATAATGTGCCACATGAAGAATGATTTCCAATTCGGACGTGAGAGTGAAAAACGTACCAGTGACAAAATCAGATCGTCCATCAAAGGCAGCCATGACGGGATGAAAATGTCTCGTCGCGCCCACCGCCGTAACAAACGGGCACGACGCCGGAAACGCTGGCATAAACCGCCTCGTATTCTTGCCGTCATTCGACACGCAGGTGCCGTCCTTTCCCACCCCTTCGTCCCCGGACGCCACAATGACACTGACGCCCCGGGCGCCCAGCTGCGCAAAAGCGGCGCAGACTCGCTTTGCGTACGCCTCGGGCACCGTCTGCTCCTCGTCCGCATACGACACGGAAACGACCGACGGCAAGTCGCCGTTGTCGTCTTGCTCAAGCAAATGACTCAGCCATTCCATGTACGGCTCATTGGCATTGTGCACCTTGTTGGCGCTGGCTTGAAATGGGGGCTGGCCGCCGACGTTCCACGTCTTGAGCGGCGTCGGGTGGCCGATGCCGAGAATGGTTTCGACGTCCAGGGCGCCTTCCAGGCCCATGTGGCGAGCAAACTGCTCCTCCGTGTTGGGCGTCTGCTGGTCTTGGGCGCCCGCGAGCAGCACCGTCTCAAAGCTTTCGGCGGCGCCGGCGGCCGCGGCGTCTGGTCGGTATTTTTCGAGAAAACGGCGAATGTCGGACCGGTTGTTATTGTTGCCCAAAAAGTTGACGACGCCCATGCTGTTGGTGGCCGTGGACTGGGGCCTGTATGAAAGAGTGCCGTAGAGGACTCTCATGCATACCGGCGTGATGGCGAGCCTGTTGCAGGCGTCGTCTACCGTCGGGTTCTCCGGGAGCTCGTCTATCGTCGGGGTGTCGAGATGGCCTCTGTCGAGAATGTCCTCTTCCACCAGCTCGGCATACGTGGGCATCCGTCCCTCCTGCTCCCAGTCTGGCGGCGGGGGCCCTCCGTACCGGCTCGAGGGCTTTGGGCGAAAGAAGGAGTTGGTGGGCTGAATTACATCAATGTAGGCCGCAACGCGCTCCGGGATTGACCAGTCTGTGGTTCGGACCAAGACTGTGCCGTCGTGGACGTTTTCAAACTCATAGTAACGGCATTGTAGCAAGTCTTCCACCTGCCGAATGGGCAACGACGCTGTGACCCAGCCGCTGCCAGCAGATGCTGTAAATTGGGTAATGTTGTGGGACACAAGCCAAGCTTCGATAATCTCTATAGCCTCGTCAGGAGACTTGAAGAGGTTTCGTAGTTCTCTTCGATGAAGATGATGGCCGTATTTTGAGCTTCTTGGATCAGACAACTAAAAAAAAAAAAAAAACACAGGTCAGCTAGGTCAAAGGCCATTTAGTCCTTCAAATCAAATATACCTTCAATAAGCCGTCGCTTCAACTCATCCAATGTATCCTCTTTCTGCTTAATTCCAATGTGTAAATGAATGTTGGCAGCATCGCTTGCTGGCCGTAGCTTCTTCCAAGCCCGAGGTATCGAGGACGTTTCCGTGACGCGAGCTTCTTGGGCAGGCAACGCAAGACCAAAGGCCAAGAGAGCAGCCAAAGCTATCAGTCTCATTGTCTTCTTTTTTCTTTTTCTTTTTTTTTTTTTTCTGTTTTTTTCTTCTCCCTTTTTCAGAGCAATAGAGTGTTGGCGATTAATTCTGTCGTTTAGTATACGGTCGCCGCAAATCCGACAAAGTTCGCTCAACTAAGCAGGGACAAACTCGACTACCCCCCCGCGACACCAACTTCAGGACCCAAATTTGCCTGTATAGGTTCTTTTCTTCTCTTGGCAATGCCTCTAGCCCTGGAAATCCTCATCCCGACTCCGACTCCCCTCTCTAGCCGTATGGACTCTGCATGGGACACGCACGGTCACGTTCGTGTCACCATTCCAGTGGCGTTCATCAGTAAGCTTCATCAGCCGGCTATCAATCACTCCGCTACAAAGCGTCACAGTGACCATTGTCTAGGGCTCAGGATCGGTGTGACAACCAAACATGTATGCTTACACTGTATCGTGCAGCAGGTTATGTGACAGAGCAGCATCCGCGCAGTAGTTTTGCGTTCCCACAGCGGCGCGCCCAGCTGAGCGGCGCAAATGCAAGCCACAATGCGGCAGCGTAATCCGTCAAGGCCTGTTGCCTGTACAGGAACTTGGAAATCAATCACAGACTTTTTGTAAATGAAATTTTGGGTGAAGCATGAAGCTTGAATAACACTGTGAATACCATCACTCTACCCACACAAATCATCGTGCCTACTTCTTGTCCTTGTCTATACTGTTGCAGCATTCTTTCCCTTTTCAAAGGATGCAGACCAACATCTTGACGAGCAGTTTCAAATTCTCGACTCTGCTTGTCTGTTTCTTGGCAGCACTCTGTGCTGCCGAGCCAGCACAATTCTGCAAATTCGGCCATCAGGTCAACGAGGTGGACTTTTGCAGCAGCTTCACCGCACACCGCAACGAGTCCACCAACGAGCACAATGTCTACGTCACATTTTCTCATGTCCGAACAGTCAACTCGGCCAAGGGCTGGTCGGCGATTGGATTCGGCTCTGAGATGAAGGGCTCCCTCATGTTCATCGTCTATGGAGACCCAGCATCAGGCAAGCCCCCCATTGTCAGCGTGCGCGTGTCCAAGGGCCATTCTCAGCCAACGCTGGTCACGCCGCGCGACCTGGCCGGGGGCGATCTCCGCGTCTTGAGATCCGACTGGCGGCTGGACGATTCTCCGGCCGGCACCGTCACGGCGCTTGTATCTCTGGTCTGCTACTCGTGCACCAAGTGGCCCGGGACAAGCATATCGGCAGCGTCCACCTCGCAGCCGCTCATCTGGGCGTGGAATGACGTGCAAGAATTCGACGTCTTTACCTATGATGCCCATTTGAAGATGCACAAGCATCACGCTGGGAACGGAGGCTGGGGCCGATTCTACGTCAACATGGACCGTGCCACCAGCAGAGTTCCCCAATTGCCCTCTGTGCCCTTTATCCGTCCCGGAGTTGCAGAATTTGCCGCGTCGGAAGAGCCTGATATTTTGGCTGGTGGCATTGTCAATGCTGTGAAGGAATGGACCTCCAATAACCGGGCGCTCCATATCCATGGCACTCTCATGGCTGCGGCATTCCTGCTCTTCATCCCCAGCGGCGTTGTGGCCATGAGATCAGGAAGCTCCAAATCATTCAAATATCATTGGATCATCCAAATGACAGCCGCAATCCTGATACTTGCTGGCATGGGCATCGGGGTCTCACTCCAGAAAAAGGTCAACACAACTCACCAAATACTCGGGTTGACCATTGTCGGGGTGCTCTTTGTCCAGTCCTACCTGGGATACAAGCATCACATGGACTTTGTCAAGATTCACCGGCGTACATGGATCTCATACAGCCACATCTGGACAGGTCGCGGCGTCATGGTCGCGGCATCAGGCAATCTGCTGCTCGGCATGTCCATGAGGGGATATCCTCGTGCCATAATGTCCCTGGCAGCCGCATTCATTGTCTTGGAGTACGCGGGGCTCGCATTCTTTGTCTGGCGCAGGGCCAAGATCACGGCCAGGCAGCGTTTCAAGTATCAAATGGCAGAGCAAAGCGCTGATACTCATCGCTACTTTACCATTGGCGAAGACACAGACGACGACCAAAGTGAGACGGAGAATGAATCTCAAAACCTGACAAAGTCAGACGCATCATCAGCATCAAGGTAGTGAGTGCGACTTGAGAAGAGAAAGAAAAAAAAAAGAAAAGAAAAGACAAGAAAGTTCATGGTGCCTTTGATTTATCAAGTTTTATTGAGGCCCCAAATAAGCAAGTAAAAAAATTGTTTAAAATGATTTCGCGTTGTTCTGCTGCAGGCAATTGTGTATTGTGTGTGTTCTTGGTACGGCGAGGTGAATCAGGTCGCCAACTGGTCCACATGGCAAACAAATTGGAAATACCACAGGTTTTTACTAGACTGCAGGTGATGTGAGCAGGTACAATATTATGCAGGCATTCGAGGCCTTTTGCTGGGCCGATTGTCCCGTGTTATGAATGAGCTTTGTGATCAGTGACCATGTGTCTGCGACCTGCGCTCCTGTCATTAGCAGCCAACACCGAGTTATCGCAGCAAGGAGAAGGGAATAATGCTTACTGTATCTTGCAAGTCCTTTCGATCCTTTCGCATAAAATCTTGGATATCCGGATCCGAGATTAAATTTTGAATGCGATGTGCAATGTAGACACGGCTCGTCTCCGCCGTTGGCTTGGACGAGCCAGCAATGGACAGCAGCTTGTTACTGCTCGTCTCCGTGGCGCCATGCACCATGTTGGCCAGTTCATCCGCATAAATACCCTCGGCAGCGCGCACAATCTCCTCCCTGTACGCGTTGCGCTCCTGCTCACCCCACTCGACGTGGCTGCGATGAATGGCAGAGAGGAAGCTGCGCAGCCGCCGCGAACGGCCCACGGCCTGCGCCGGTCGGGCATTTGCGCCGGCGCTGAGATTGGCGCTGTAGTAGGCCGCCATCATGGCTTCCAGGCTCTCGTAGCCGGCGTCCTCGACAAACTCGCGGATGCGCTCGAGGGAGACGACGTCCTGGGTGGTGGAAGAAGAAGAATCCGCGCTGCGGCTGGCCGTCCCCGGGCGCGACTCGGATCGAGGCCAGGAGAAGCTCTGGCTACCTGTAGTAGTCGCTGACGATGCGCCGGTAGTGCCGAAGCAGGCAGATGTATTGTGGCTCGGCTGCATAAAATCGGATGCGTGCATGGACTGTTGCGGTTTGCAGCCCATAATATCATCGTAGCGATGATTGTGTGACTGCTGCGGAAACATGGCCAGTATTCGACTGCAAGAGTCTTGAGATAATTCTGCAAATGGTCAGATTTATGTTTCGCTTTGCTGGACAGATCAAAAAGTTTTTGCCTTGCCTCCGTCGCCTTTTTGCAGTGTCATCAGAAACTGGTGCAGCGGGCTGGGCGAAGAGCTCCCCAAGCTCGCAGAATTACCATTGGCATCGGTCGAGACCAACTGTCCATTCAGAAGACCTTTGGCAATACTCGATTCTGACCCGTCTACCAGAGCGGTAGGTTTTGCAGCAGCTTCCGCCTTGTTCACAGCACGAACCTGCGCGTGCGCGTGCGCGTCGGTGCTCGGTGGAGGAGAGTTGACAAGACATTGATCTGTAATGTCGTCCTGCTCTTCGAGCGAGGCGTCGAAAAAGACACTGTCGACTCCGCCAAAGTCCCAAGTCTTTTCAGACGACGATTGTTGATCTTGCTCCTCGGATAAGATGATTGGCAGCACGTCGTTGCTGACTGAAGTGATGCTGGCGGCCCGGTTTCTTTGTCCTGTGTTTGCAATTCCCATTTTATTAGACTTTTTTTTTTCCGTCTTGTGTTTGCGGTTTTTAAATGCCAGGTGGCGAATTTGCCTTTTTTATTTATAAATTAAATAGCGGCAATGGGCAGGGAAAAAAAAAACAAAAAAAAAAAAAACTCACTTTCTCGACGTCGTCGCTGGGCCAATCTGTTTCGTCTTCGTTGCTCTTCGAGTTTTGCAGCTGCGTCTGTAATTTCTGCACTATGCATCATGTCATGGCAGATTGACAAAAAAAAGAAAAAGCATACAAGTATGTTGGACAGTAGCGATTTTTTTTTTATAATATTGAGCCAAAACAAGCAAAAATTGATCACGCTCAAAGGATCCTTAGACCTTCCATAAGATCCCTTTTCCCTAGCCGACTACGGGGTCCCCGGTGTGATAATCGAATAGGCACTCTCTTTCTCTCTGTGAGCCCGGCGATTGATACACACCCCGCAGCATCAATTGAGGCTGGATGATCCGAGTGCGGTGTCCACTCAGATAGCCTCTGAATTCATCCGCTCCAAGGCAGGCTGACATGCATGCCCTCCGGTTGGGCACTCTTGGCTACTCTGGCTGGCTAGAAACCAGGTCAATGATTGGCAGAGCAGTCTTGTCTTGTTTTTTTCACAAGCTCTGTCGTACAAGGATAGCCTCTGTCATACAAGGATAGCACCATGCACCAGGGCATCACTGTGAATAGTATTGTATCGAGTAGTGCATCAAATCCCAAAGCTGTGGCGCCCTCCAGACTGGCCGAGGCCGCTCCCTGATCGCTTCTGTTCCCAAACAAGGTGCTCGGCACTGTGCGTGCCCGATGAACCAACCACCATCTACTGATTGTAATGCACACGCGTGTCTTGGTATGCATCGGGTTACATAACGATGATGATGATGTGGTACAAAAGTTTCTCCCTCCCGCGTTCTTGTTGCCACATTGAGATCAGATGTTAATATCAGACAGAAAAGGCCCTTGCAAGTACATAAGCCCCAGATATGCAGCGGTGTGCTTGGCACGAGCGAGTGGAGGGTTTTCGGGGGAGCTGGAGGCTTCCTGCGCCATTCCAAAGCTCACTGGCGACATCGTTTCAGCTGCTATACGGCTCTGTATGTAGGAGACATATATACTGGAAGGGCAAGTGAGTGACATTCGGGACTCTGCACCGATTCCCGCTCCAGGGTCTCATCACCAGCTGAGCACCAGAGTACCCCGCTGTCCGTCAGGCCTTGGCTGCGCGATGCATGCGAACGCACCAATAGATGCATCTATGTGGTGTTAATTAATATAAACAACACCAAGGATGCAGTGGCTCATCAGTTTGGATTCCATAACGTCATTGCCGTTGTAATACCCAAGTACCCAAGTCAACTAGTCAACTAGTCAACCAGTCAACCGTGTCGGAAGGATACCCCTTGGGGAATAGCAATAGTTTTCGCAATTGGCGGGGCTACTTTGTTTTGAGCATTACTGGCCAATCAAAATATCACAATCAGTCTCACGGCAGTTGGCGGCAGATGGGGGGGACCTATCGTGATCATCGGCAACAAAACGGGGTTCCTATGCAAGAGTCTCTCCTTTTGAGGAAGTTTCCGCGCTCCCCGGTGACGACAAAGCAATTCTCTCCCCCGGTCTTTTCTCTTTTCTCCGATAACATGTGCAACGCAGGTATATTTGCGTGAATTGCTAGAGTTTCTTCACCATGCGTAACGACTATTCGGAAGGATGCGGGGGACGGGGCCCTGCGGTGCCACCCCGAATAAACGAAATGCCGTCAGCCTGCCCTTTATTTTAGTGCGTCTTCTTTTGCCGTATGACTGACTGATGCATGGGCTTGTGAGCCGGCTTTAGCCCCTTCCGGATCCTAGCATTGATAAATAGGTACAAACTCGGAGTTTCAATATCAGATGGTGTTATGCATGTCGGCTTGTCATTGTTACCAAACTACTCTCATCACCTCTAATAATATGCTTGTTTACGCATGTACTGTTATCCTGTGGAGTCGAGCACGAGCTTAATTAATATGCATATCGCCGAGTCATTATCATTCTAAACCCCGTTCAAGACATGAGTTTTTTTGAAAACGGGCCCGGCATGTAGCATGCGGATAACTACACAGATTGACAAGAGTTGCCATGGCCGGGCCGAGACTCCACGCCGGTTCTCGGCCCCAGCCTTGCCACCAATGCCTGCCGCGTCACACCATGTGGCAAGTCTTACGTGCTTCCGTGATTGTGAAGGGCTCCATTGATGTGCTCTTTGTCATTCTCCTTCTCAGAGTATGCCGGTCCTGGGGACATGAGAATAAGTCACAATATGCTTCTAGATTTCCGGAAAGCTTCTGCAGTAAAATCTCAAACTCACCATGCTGTGGATGGACAAGAAGTCCTGGTTTGTACATGTCGACTGTTCGTTCCTTTGTCCATTGTGAAATCTTGTCCCAGTTGACGCAAGTATGCCCTGTGCCGTTGGCGCCAGGCTTCAGTCGGTCTTTTTGCCAGCTGTAGATGACCATGCCGACATCGCCATGACACATGGCAAAGCTCTTTAAGGTGCCGAGACAATGATCTAGTAAAGTCAGCTTTTTGTTGCGAGGCAAGAAAAGAAAGTTGGGTTGGACCTGGTTCATCCATCTTTGCTGTTGTACTTACTACTGTGGACCTTGTTCTTTCTTCGTTGCTCGTCGTCAAGGCCCGGCCAATACTCGTCTTGATAAACGTATTTATGAAGCCATCTCTATCGTAGAATGGTCAGATATAATAAATATAAAATCAGAAAAAAAAAAAGAAATAGTTACCACACAGTGCAGCTCATGGTACACATTCAACGTGCCGACATAGCCACTCCCGTCTGATAGCCCAACGGCTGTCGCTTCACGATTGAACGCTTGAACATCTTTCAGCGATAATCGTACATTCATGGCTAAAAGTTTTAGTATTCTAGCTCTGCGACTAGATTCATGCTCGACTCACGTCCCAATAGGTCTTCCCAAGCCTTCTCGAGCGAGGGCCGAGGCTCCCCAACATACATGCCGTGTGGATCGTTGCCGTCCGAGAATTCCCCGACATAGTATTCTAGGGCCTCGTTGGCCGGCGCTGGGATAGCTTGTGTCAGAAGGGTCAAGATTTGAGCCCAGAAAGTGTTGGCTTACAATATAGAATCGCCCTTTTCGAGCTTCTCCCGCTTCTGCCGAGAAGGACCCCCATGCCAAGCAGGGTCAAAATGTAGAAGCTAAAGATGGCCAGGTGATATTTGACCGAAATTCTGCGCTGCAAGAGAGAAGCTTCATTGCCATCATGTCTTTCAACGTGCTCTTTGGACTTCAACAGGCCATCGGAATCTTTTGCATTCCAGTCTTGCTCTTCAGTGATGGTCGGCGTTGAAGCCCGCGTACCTGCGTCTTCTGACTTCATCTGGCTCTCTGATCAAACGAGATTTTTTGTTTCCAGACCAGAGCTTTGCGCCGACACCTTGGTTTCTACGAATTTCTGTGTAAATGCTTGGGAAGAGGCAACTAAGTGGCCACTGCGGGGTGCTGTGGCGCTTGACAGCCATGCTCCGTCGCATGTTTGATCGTTCAAGCTGATTACGCCGATCAATGTCCAGCCGCAGCAGCAGTGGAGCTCCCGAACAGGCAGAATATTCCGTGACACAGTCATTCCATCCTTACCAGTACTCTGTGTCAAATGGTATTTTGGGCGATGGGGGCCTCGAGTTCTGTCACCGGCAGTGGCCATGATCTGCGCAGTGTAAGAACGGTGACAGCGGGCTTGTCACCACACACCGGGTGTGCCTTGAGAGGATGACAGGCTGCGCCACAGGGATAGTACAGCCACAATTGATGTTGACTTTGGCCAAAGAACCCAATCACTTTGATTCTCAGAGAAACTCACGATATGATGCGATTCAAAAGGTAGTGTTCAATACAAGGACGATGACCGCTGCTGTCACGGTGGGGGAGTGTCTGAGCAAGCATGACAGCGAGCATCATTGACGTGCAGAGCCAGTAACGTACGTGTTTGTGAGGAAGATACAGCACTCTGATAAAATCTCATTTAATGCAGTCAACTTTTGTTCAGTAATCTAATTGGCTGATCTCCAAGAGCCAAGCAAGAGGAAGAAGTCATGGCGCGCACGGTTGACAGCCATCTGCCTCGTGGAACTGGGTGCAAGTTGACATTTCTGGGAGAAGGTGACACTGAGTCACTTTATCGACATCTCAATCTAGCTGTTTGTATCTATGCGGATGTTAGAGGATATGCAGATCCATTGCGGTGGTATTCGTCACTCAATACTATATAGTCGACCGGCTCACTTACAGCCCATATACGATAACCAAAGTGCTTTGTCCACTTACAGCATACTTCCAGCATACCAGCACTGAGCTAAAGAAGTCTCCGTTTACAATCCCATTCGACTGTTCATCCCGCAAAAATGCATTTCCAATCCACTCTTGTCGCTGGCATTATTGCCACCCTCTCTGCGACTGCCATTGCAGCACCTGGTCAGTGTACACCCTCACTTGACACCATGGCTCGAGTCTAACCATATAAAGTTGTTGCTCGCTCCGACGCTGATGCTGCCACCCGCTATGTCGTGGATAAGCGCTCTGACGCAGACGCCGCCACCCGCTATGTAGTTGACAAGCGTTCTGACGCTGATGCCGCCACTCGCTATGTAGTTGACAAGCGCTCCGATGCTGATGCTGCCACCCGCTATGTCGTGGATAAGCGTTCCGACGCTGATGCCGCCACTCGCTACGTTGTTGATAAGCGCTCGGATGCTG